CTAACTTGGCAATTACAAATTTCAAAACCCCGCTTTGAATTACTGCCACGCCCCTCTTATTCGTGTCTCACATCACTGTAGATAAAATTAAGTATTTTTTGTGAATATAAAAACAGTGGTATGGAGTGTTTTTAGAGAAGTGCTTCCAACCTTTTATTTGTATCATTGCATACCTGCGAACAACGTTCCCTCTAAGCTGGCCGAGAATCCCCGCGCAGTACTTTCGTTCTGCCGCGCTTTGCATAAGTATTAAAATGTTGTGTTCTTTTCTAATTTTCCGCGCAGACCTTTTTTTTTGGAGTTCACATGGCCGTCTATTCCGCGCAACTGAGCAAGCTCTTAGAAGGAACATTGCCTGCGAAGCATAAACTTCACCGCGGGATTCTACTAAAAATAATATTTTTGAATAACTGGCAATAATTTTGAGGCACACTGGAGTGGTCACGTGATCAATCTTTTTGTTTCCCACGATGGCTGCGGCCTGGGAAAATTGAATCAGAGGAAGTGGTTAGCAGTATGACCTTGTTTCGTGCGGTGCAATTGCGCATACTGTTAGCATGCAGTAGTCAAATGATGTTGCAATCCGCAGTAAGTTTCCATTTCCAAATTTTGTTTCGCTATAGTACACGCCAGAACGCTGACGAATGGTATTGCGTGAATTTGCACCTGTTGCATGGGAAAATTGAATGACATGAAGTGGTTAGCAATATGACCTTGTTTCGTGCGATGTATTTGCGCATACTAATAGCAATCAGTAGTCAAATATTATTGCAATTCATAGTAACTTTTCGTCTGCAAATTTTGATTCGCTGTAGCACACGCGCCAAAACACTGACGAATTTTATTGTGTATATTTGCACCGCTGTGTGTTCGACAAAGGCATGTATTATTGAAATAGTCACAACCATATCTCATCGTGTTTTTTATTACTTACATTCTTTAATACAAGGCGAAAGAGTCCATGCAAGACTTAAATGTCGCTTGTTTAAACCCAGTGTTAGGCCTTGGCAATTTTTCTGTATTCCCGTACTGTGTACATGTTCTGAGTTGGTAGTAGCTTAGACACATACTATCCATGTTTTATGCAAGGTATTGATAAGGGCTGTAGATTTGATGAAAATCCCATGTGACACCGACTGATTCCAACTAGCCACCCACCCCCAGTCGATTTGCTACTCCAATTACCGAAAAAAATCTTTGCGGTTTACTTAATTAGGAAATTCGACTTTTAGATGGTTCAAATTACTACCGTTGTTTTCATTTCTTATCCCGGGGGTGCGTATCAGGTGGTCCGCGGGCCACAACTCGGCCCACTAAGCCATTTAAAAGCCCTTGTCAACAATCAGATTCTCCCCATCACATTGATGAAAATACATAATGACATTTGCTCTTGTCGCTGCTCAAATTCTTTCGCCGTCATGGAGTCAACAAACCTTTAACATTCCTCGAAATAATATTCGGGGGGGGGGGGGGGGGGGGGGGGGTGAACAGAAAATGTGTAATCTGTAATGCCAACATCTTAAACTCTTACGCTTCAATCGCAGACCATCGCGTTACCCATTTACATCAACAATTGAATTATAAAAGACAAACATGATATCGTGAGACCACGTCAATTTACATTTTCTAAAAAAATTAATTATATATACGTCAACCAGCATTGCTAACAGAAATTTCTAGAAACTTGTTATTGCGATAATTAAAGGTTTCAACCAAGCCGTACTGACTGGAACGTTAATTACATCCTAATAGTATGATAATTTAACTTCATTAATAGCGGCTTGTTTTCAGTTGGCTCGGTATTGCCAAATTGAACTCATTTCGAAGTATTCCTAGATAGTAATTTATCTAAATTTCGAAAAACTTTTATTGCAATAATTATCGTTTTCGAACAAGTAGTACTCTTAATTACACCTTAATAGTAGGATAATTTAAGTTCGTCAAAATCGGCTTAATTCAAATGGTTTCGGTATTGCCAAATTAAAATTATTTCGATGTAGATTATAATCTATCCAACTTTTGAAAAACTTGTATAACTTAAAAAACTTATATTTTGCAATAATTATCGTTTTCATTCAAGTCGTGCTAACGGGAACGTAGTCTTAATTACGTCTTCTTGGTAGAATAATATAAATTGGTTAAAGTCGGCTTGTTTTAGATTGGAAAGAAACGGTATAATTAAACTCACTTCGGAGCATATAATAATCGGAAAAAAAAGCTTCAATTTGGTAATACCTTGAACAAACTCGCATTTCTAGAAATTTTATTTGTGAAATTTGGTTCCTACTAAAATCGTGATTGGTACGGCATGACACAAAAACATGAATTAGATAATAAATTTCGGACCTTCTGAAGTATGCGCACCAAGATGGCGCACAACCTGAACTCAAGTTGTGTACCAGGTTAGAGTTAGGTTATGCGACCGACATCTTGGTGCGCATACTTAGGAGTACCTAAATTTCTTTATTACTTTTACGAAAATGAAGAAAATTTATTCAACAGATGAACTATTGTTTATGTGTGATTGTACCCAGAAGTTTAATTAATTAATCCAGCACGCTTTGCACAAAAGTTATGTTTTATTCAGAAAATGTTCCAAATGACCTAGATTCTGTTTCTGTTCTAGTTTCACGGTTTGCTTTGGCATTGGGGTAAATTTGAGTTCCTGTTGATCATTTTTTAACCAACCTATTCATATCGACTCATATTATACGCCGGAAAAAGGTTTTTGGCTTTTTAATAAATCTTGCATGGTTTTTATTATACGACGCGTATTGACATCTTTGGCTCCGAAAAAGGCCCTATCCGAGATTCCACTGATATCTGATGATACTTCTTCTTGAAGGGCCTGAATCCTTCCAATTCGGGATAGCCTACTATCTACAACCGTCCGTTACGGTGTTGGCCCCCGTTTTCTGAGTGTATTTCAATTTTCTTGTTACTTGTATTCCTCGAGTCGAATTCCGACCCACGTCTCTTGAGATTTTGAGAACTTCTGATCCTGGAATTGCGACATATGGTGTTTGGCATGCAATACATAGGAGAAATGGGAAGACATCTAAAATATAGAATAACTGAACATATTAGAAGTAAAAAAACCAAAAACAAAGATTTAGTTGTAGGTGCCCATTTTAGCCAACCGGGACATTCACTTAAAGTTCACTTCAGTGTCATTGGCATTGAAAAACTATTCCATGACCACATTTATAGAAAAAACAAAGAATCTTATCTCATTCATCTCTTCGGGACACATGAGCTACAAGGGATGAATATTAAGGAAGTTTAAAGCAATTACTAATCTTTCATTCATTGTGTAACTCATCCGTTGTACGTAATGTTATTCTCAGGGTTGGATCATGCATGGCCACTTATGTCGTCAACAGACAAACAATCAATATATTATAATTGACTCAAAGACGCCTTTTCTGGTCAGCATCATCCAATGCTGAGAAACACAAAACACCATTGTTTAATTGTTTAATATAAAACAAAGAGAGAAATCTCATCAATGTTATCACCTGCTGTTATTTAATCAAGAATTCACTGATTTTATTGATTATTTAACATGCGTAACTCCCATACTCTTATACTGATTGTTTAAATATGCATGTAACCGCTTTTCTTGTTAAAGTTGAACTATGTATGTCTGAAGAAGTCTGACCTTGGTCAGACGAAACGTTACAGAAATATATTTGTGTTAGTGTGCAGCAAGACTCTTGAATCACATATGGTGTTACTATTTTATATGTTCATGTGTGTTCCATGAGTTGGTGATTTATAAACTTTATTGTAAACAGTCGCGCAACGTCCATTAGAAATAGTTCTCGTATTCTCGTGGGAAGTCGTTTATGCCGAGCGCATCGATTTTACCTCCGTCATCCCATGTAATATTATTACACGCAAACGACCATTGCTCGAACCTATAACTTGTATAACGTCTTACGTTACACATTTCCGACTCAAACACTTTGTCCAACACTTTACTCAGCATGTAATAAATTGGGTATGCAACGCTATAAATGGTCTTGGTCGGAATAAAAGTCGTGAAAAAGCGTCGTAAAAAATCACTATTTGTCACGGTCGATCGTGCAAAAGGTTTTCAAGCTCCCTTTCGTTAGCTTTTTAAATATCATTTAAAGATTTCTTGCTTTTCTTGTAATCAGTATCCTGTGTTACACCTGTCTTTTTGTTGTTTAAGCATTGTATCTTTTGTATGAAATCAGAAAAATTGAAATAACCTTAGCACACGATTGTCATTTGATGCGAGTAAAAATTCGCGGGAAAAAATATGTGTTAGCGAAACAATGACTGGCCGTGAAGAGCCTTGATCAGAGCGAATACTCGAAAAACGTTTAATAAATAATAAAATGAAATTCGAAACTTCAGGCAAATCACATCGTTTTGCTCGACCCGTTTGTGCCCTGTATATGATCAATATCCAATTCCCTGGTGGCGAAAATGCACTAAGATTAGACCACGGGTTCTGAAACAGTGTGACATACCTCACTGCTTGGTCGCAGAAACATACGCGAGTGGACCACAAATCTATTAAAAATTGTTAGACTTGATAAATGAGTTAAATGTGATTGTATCAGAAATGAATGGTAATGCTGTTTTTCACTCTTAAATAGTTATTTTCATTTTAATTATTAAAGTGGAAGGGCCTATCTTTATGAATTTATTTTTGTTTTTCTTATAATTTTTCTCTTGCATACGAAAGAAAAAAGGCTGAGAACCAAGGGAGTAGAATACCAACAAAATGTTTCATATGATGTATTTATACGCCCTTCGCCTGGTAGAAGCAACCATCGCACGGCTTGGTATTAAGCGACTTTAGTCTTGAAGAACCGAAAACTTTCCGTTTTGGCATTGCCTACCCAATTTATTACACCATGGGTGAGGGGTGGACATGAGATTCGAAACCGAGACTTAAAATGTCACCATGGATAAGATTAACGCTTCAACAACTAGGCCACCCTTGTTAATGAATAAACGAGATATCATATTTATAGTTTTTATTGCAGCTCTGAATAATAGAAAATAGACAAATAATAATGAAGGCCGAACTAAAAAAAAGTAGTTGTAAATTGCTAACAATTCGGACTTTTTTTTCATGTTATTATGTGAGATTTGGGCAAGATTTTGTTATTTACAACATTGATTGGGGGGCTCCAGAAATGTGTGTACCGATATGGAGGTGACTAATTTTGTTCGCCTACCTTGAAGGGACTGGAAACAATGGGCAGGGGGCATATATTCACTTGGCTATCACAGACAGTCCTCGAACTCATAATCAAACTAAAATAGAGAAAAATCGGAAAAAATTAAGGCCAAACCCTATCCTAGTACACATACTACAAGAGTATCCATTTGGGAGTATGTAAAGATTAACATCCGGCATTATTAAATTTGCAAATTGACGGCTGACTTTATGATCGGAAACCAGACTTATGAAAATTCAAAATTGAGGAGTGAAATAGGAAGCGGGAGACGAACTGGGATGTCTAATACTTCAGGTTCGGAATATCTGATTTCAAAATCGATTTAGTAAATCTTGGGTACTCCGTAGTGTGTGTTAGGCCACGATTTTATTCCGATTTTCCTTATTTTAGTTCTGTTACGAGTTTGGGGACTGTCTGTGTTAGCCATGTGAATATACCCCCTGTCCATAGATTCCAGTCCCTTTACACAACTTGGTGTAAACTAGGCAAACAAAATTAGTTACCTCTATATTAGTACATTTTAATTCTTCTTCTGGAGCGCCCAATCTTGATTCTGGGAACAAGAAAAAATAGTTTCATTTATAAATTTATGATTTTTGAGCATTAGACATCTCACGACTAGACAAGAAAAGGACTTCACGCAACTACGACATTGTACAAAAAGAAAGCGATTGACATAACGTTCTTATCGCATTAATCGAAAACCAAATTTCGTGAATCAAAATGGTTTATTTAAATTCCCAGATTGAGGATGACCTAATTTATATTCTAGTCGATATTCCATATTCAAAATTGTTATTCCAGAATGTATCGGAATAGTGAATTACTCGTTTGGCTAGTTTCAAGGAAACCAAAACGATTCACTTCCGGAAAAGCGATAACCATGCCAGGGCTTAATAAGGAACACGGGCAAATAAATAAAAAAAATATGCAAAAATTCAAACATCAAAGAATCTTAAATACGTTTACTTGCATAAAAATAGCAATATTTGGTTGGATATTTGGGTAACCGAAAAGCCGATTCTAAAAAACAAAGTAGTAACATGAATTGAACGGAAAAAATATAACAAGTAACAGAATCTCAGAGCACTTCATTTGTATACAATGGAACCGTATTTGATTGGGAATATAGGCATCCGAGGAAGCCTCATAATTACTGGTGGAAATATGTACCGGAATGATAACCAGTGGTTTAGATGCAAAAAGTATAACAAGTAATTGAATGAAAAATATCAGGACACTTTTCTTTGCAAAAAATAACCCCATTTGAGTTAAAATTTAGGCAATTGAAAACGCCACTTTTTTATTTAAAAATTTAGTGGAGGCACGAAACTAGCTTGGGAGTAAGATGTGTACGAGAATAACTGAGTATGAAAAAGTTTATCAGATAAATAATAATAATATATCTCACGGCACTTTCATTTGCAATAAATGGAACAATATTTGCGTTGGAAAAATAACCCGTAAGTTGGATACAAAAAGTAATTGAAAAGAAGAATCTCATGGCACTTCTATTTGCATAAATAAAATAAGCATATCTGGATTGAAATTTGGCATAGTACTTTTGAAATTTAGTATATGCTAATGATCACGGAATGACTTGGAAGATTGACTTTGTTAAGATTATTTTTAATGGAGAAAGTAGCAGAATCGGGGATATGAGTGGTTTTCAATCCTGGACGAAATTGATCGTTCAGTCGGCGCAAAAAAGGGTAAAGTTTACATTTCAACCTTAGCAAGATTGCAAGGCCGTTACAGGCAAGACTCTATTTTTAATCTGCGATTCAAAGTATATGTGTTTCAGTGTATATATCGCGCTAAAACAGTTTTTAGATGCAAAACTCATTGCTCTTCAGTCTTTACGACTCGATGCCTACTTGGAGTAGAGTAGATCTTGAATGAAGTCGTGGCTGGACAATTTTGAGAAAAAATTTTGGATTTTGATGGCAAAAAACTTAAATAAAATATAAATAAAGTATAGAATAAACCCCTGACTAAATAAATAGCAATAAGAAATCCTGTTTTCTCTTAAAAATAAAATATTGGATTGAATTGTATGTAAAAGATTATAACAACCAACAGAATCTCAGGGCACTTTTATTTGCATAAAAAATAACCATATTATCAAAGGATGCGGGGTGGGAAAAAAATAATGGAAATGGAACAACTAACTTTCGAAGTTGGATCGCACTGAAAATAGTAGTAAAGTCTGTGATATATAATAGACCCTTCTTAATAGGACTAAAATGACCGGTCAGTCAGTTGTATAAAGTCAGAAAATGAACCGCTCTTTGTTATGAAAAGCGAAATCGGTAATAAATAACAATAAACTTAATCAGTGAAGAAAAAAAGCAATAAAAATTATGAGTTTTTCCAATATTTGAAAAGTGAAAAATGCCATTATTGGGTAGGATATTTCAGTTTGCGTACAGTAGGTGCATAATTGGCATTTCACCAAGAAATTACCAATCTTTCTCTGAAATTTGTTTTGATTCACCATATGATGAAGCCCGCTTGTTGTCTTTCATATCCGCAAGAAAAGGAATATGGGTTACCATTACTGTGCATATCTGCAACACAAAATTTAAACAACATAGACTCGTAGCAAACCATTAACAGCAAACATTTTACTACACTGTTGAGTTGGTCTTCTAGTAGTAACGCTCCTGATATCTGGGTGGAGTTGGGTGGCGATTGTACGGGCGATATTGAGTTGGATAGCGGTAACATCCGGGAGGGGGAATTTGCATGTACGGTGGATACTGGTTTTGCTGGTTGTTGTAGGACTTACCACGTGGTGGATAACGTGACCCTTGACCCCTATTACTCTCATAGAAATACCGATTTTCGTAATTGTACTGGTTTCCATTCCATTTTGGCTTTCGGGGATCACTAGGAGGACGCATTAGGGGCGGTATAGGTTTGGGTTTCTCATATCTAGATATTGTGGTAGTGCTTTCCTCCGAGTAGCTTTTGGGAATAGTATTTGAACTTATATTTGAAGTTGATTCCTTTTTATAACTACTACTTTGATTGTTTGCTGTGACATTAGGCCTCTCCTTTGTTACTTCTGACGTTTCCACGTCGTTCTCAGCTGGTTTGCTTATTGTGGGATTGACCGTATAGTTTGCCGAATTCCGCGATTCGTTCGGGTCATTCGATGAAGTGTGGTAAATGTTGCTCCCTTTCGTGTGAGTGAGCAGTTTGTCACCTTGGTATTTCGTCAAACCATTGATTCCTTCATCACAGTTTTTTGTACTTGATAGCAAAATAGGATTGCTAGGAGCATTCATTTCGCGGAGAGATGAGTGCTTTGGTTTGGGGCCTTCAGAAAATGAATTTGTATTAGTATTTTCCTTTGGGGGGCTTTTCCTGTGACGCAATGGATTTGATTTGCAGCTAGCTGGGTGTTTTATTGGGGAAGCATTGGGAATAACCACGATAGACTCCTCCGTGTCCATAGACGAACTGTCACGATTTTTGTTTTCGTTTGTTGAATTTGATGTATCCGTTTTGTTCTTTGTATTATTCAAATTGTTGCTATCTGTATTACAATTTGTTGTACTTGGCAACGTAATGGAACTGTTAGTCAAAAAATTGATATGGCCAGTCAATGGGGCTTGAGATTTTGGGTGTACATTTGTTGAATCAGTAAGACTATATTCCGCAAAGTTGTTTTTCGTGTGAGTCTTTGGAATTGACTTTTTGATAACTGATTCAGAATGTCTGGCAGTTGACAACGTATTATCGGTAGAATAATTCTTTCCATGACAAGAGAGAGATTGAGAATTTCCTTCCTGTGCATTAGAATTTGTTGGAGTATTTTCCTTAGATTCGGCTCTCGAGTTGGTTGATAGGCTTGACGTTTTTCCATCGCCAACATCAGGGTAGTTTGCTAGAGGAGCTGGCACAACTTCTTTTAACTTCTGTCGATCGTAATTTGGGTGTCCTTTCTTAGAAGTTGGAAACTTATTAATTTTTGAGATAGCTTTATTCCGTTTATTTGTAGTATTGTTGATGCCGACTCGACTTTTATCGATGGATATCGACGGGGTGGTAACTTTTTCTGCTGTGTTGTGATTCTTGTATAAATCGCTACTGCTTGTGTATTGTGGGCTATGCAAGACGGGGGATGGTTCGCCTTTGCGGGATATTTTGTTGCTATCGAGCTTTTTACTTATCAATTTCCCATTTTTTTCGGATAGGTGGACATTGGTGCTGGCCTCAGTTTGCACCAAACTTTTCTTTTTTGGTGCACTCTGACCATTTCCAACAACGCTCATTTTTCTTCTTGGGTCTGAAGACTCATTTCGATTCTGGTTGCCTTCCTTACATAAAACTGTGTCGTGGGATGTTTTATCCTTTGATTTTTTAGCACAATTTTCGGGTTTTCTTTTTTTCTTTTTTGAAGCAAAATCGGCGTTTGTCATTTTATGTTTTTCAATTTTTTTCACTTTTTTGTCAGATTTTGCTTTTTTTTGTTTTTTCGCACTTTTTCGCTGTTTCGTTCGTGGCAGAGTGATTGGCAATGTCTTCGCAACACTCAATTGGGGTCCCAATTTCAATTTTTTGCTGAATTTTTCCTCTGTATTTTCGACATACATATTCTCTGAATCGCATTCCATCGAATTTTCTTCCTCGGTAAGCAAGTTCAATGTTTTGCTCATTTTAACCTCTGTACTTTTGGTAAACGCATTTGGCAAATCGTACTCCACTGACTTTCCTGTCTCGGTGCTCAAAGTATATTGCCACAAATATTTATTTGCAAAGAAGTTGTCGATTATGTATTTATCTTGCGCCACGATGTCCTCAAAATCTCTTTTTTGTAGTTTACAACCTGTTTGGTAGACATAATCAGCGAAGCTTGACAAATAATCAACGATCCGTGACGGGTAGTCTTCTTGAACTTTGGTGATCAGATTCTGTTGGGAATTGCAAAAGTAATTGATGTGAAATTTATGTAAAATACTTACGCAAAATGCTGAACAGTGCTAGTTTCCGGTTTTGGCAAGCGACGACGAGTACACGTACACCAGTCCATCGAGGCTAGTTTCTTTCAACGACATGACACAGAATGAATAAATTTGCTGGAATTAGGCTTGGAAAGAAGTGAGACTGACTTTATCGTACATTCATCCCTACTTTGATTGTTTATGTGCATAGAAACCAAGCTCACTTATCGCGTTGTTAAATGTGCATATATCAGTAAACTTTTGCTTGGCGTAATTTTATTGTTAATGAAGTGACACATTCTTTCTAATGCGTTGTGATTTGTATTATAGAATGCGTAGTAGATTCGTGGTTAGTACTACCATGTTTCCCCAAAAATAAGAAAGTCTGAATTTTGAAAATGATTTTATTATAAGTCCTCTCCTTAAAATAAGACCTAGGCCAGGGTGGTCCAAGGTTGTCGGCTCCGCGGGCCACAAATTTATTTTTTCATCGTTCGCGGGCCACAATAGTGCCAAGAATAGGTAAACAGTGCAATACAAACAAACACTTTCATTGTGCAAACACATAGTTATCAGACATAGCCATCCCAGGCTAATAGAATCCGCATTCGATTTTTAGTTTTCTATTATGCCTATATTGTTAGCATATATTCCCGACCAAAAAGATAGAAAGCCAGATAATAATTTAGACTGTCGAGCAAATCATTCAACTTCGCTATTTGCCTCAGCTAGCCATGACACTAGTCAATTCAGTGACATCAGTGTCTAATATATGTATCAATAATATGTAACAATAGTTTTTTTTTAATTAATTGCGATTTGAAATGCGATTTATTGATTACTCTCCGAATGTGACGCGGGCCACAGATAATGAAGCGGCGGGCCACATGTTGCCCGCGGGCCTGGGTTTGGACCACCCTGATCTAGTCGATAGCAAGAAATCTCCCCTACACGTTTTAAGTGATTAATATTTTATGTTTAGCAGTTATTCTATATAAAAACGTGTTATTTATATAAGTAAATTGAAACACGTGAATTTGATGAGTTTAGGAACCTCTGGATTATTTTTTTAGTATGAAATAAATATCATAAATTGGAATTTTCATTAGAAAAATTACTCACTCTTATCCTTTTCAAATGTGAAACCAGAAACTTTATCTTCTGTAGATTAATATTGTTTCTTGACTCGAGACATTCATCGTGTGATTGAAGTTCCAATTTACTGATTTCCTCAGGCGTTGAGTCCATGCAAGATAGCTCCGATATATTCCTTATATTTTCGCTTTCTGTAAGTTCCATCATACCGTCCAAAAAGTCATCGAAAGTTGTGACTTCAAGCTCTGTTCCTATAGGATTTGGCGGTACAAGTAACAAACAGGTAGAGCTTCCACAATCCATTGTACTTTTGTTGTGTTTTATTATCACTTAAATCGTATTAGATTACCATCTGTAAAACATAAAAAATACATAAAAAAACAATTTAAAGCATAAAATAGATATGACATAAAAATCTTGGGGGAAATTGTAAGTGTGGCTTTTAAAGCGCATGAGGAAGGTAATAAATCCATGCCCAATACAGCTTGAACATCCTAGCGTTTTTAATTGAAGTTGGCGTTTGGTTATAGGTTATCGCCGTAGCTTAATCTTAGGGCTGTAGTCTGGTCGCGATCAATCCGTGACCGTTATATTATCAATAGCGTGGCCCTTGGTGCTTCAGTGGTCGTATGTTACTTCAGTGATCTCGTCCTTTGTTACTGAGTGAGTACGTATGACCTTACATTGAGCAAATGGCGCTCCCGAAGTATGTGCACCAAGATGGCGTACAACCTTAACCCTAACCTGGTACACATACTATGTTCAGGTTGTGCGCCATCTTGGTGTACATACTTCCGGAGCTCCGAGCAAATTACCAAAATAATGTGCATTTTTATGCTAACTAATTGTTTTGGCCATCTTTGCTCGGGGAAAAATATTGAAAATCTCATCATTGTACGGTCGTGCACAATATTTATGCAGCTCTTATCGTCATAATGCAAAGTCAAAGTTACGAAAGCATTAACCTGTCTGATCATTCTCAGGATGAAATTAAATAAGACTTGCGTACGTCAAAATATTGTGAGCTAAATCTGGTCTATTGGTACCTATGAGAAGGGACGTAGTCAGAAATTTTCGAATTTTCTGAAATTTCTCGTTGCCAAGTTAGCGGGTTTTAAAAGTCCTTGGGAGTCTAAAATATACCCCCCCTCCCCCCGAGGCCACGCTTCACGCTTTGGAGCTAGAGTCGCTGTAAAAAAAATTTCAACAAGGAATCTGGCGTTGTTTTTTAAATCGCTCAGATATAATTTATCTTATGTGGACCTTATCGCAGATTCAATACAATCGCCAAAGCAAATGAGTCTTATAGAAAACAACCATTTGGCCACATTGCGACAGAAACACGATATCATGAAAATATGGATGGAAAATTCAATGTATTAATAATAAATAAAAAAGTGCGGAGAAGAGTATAAATAAAATTAACATGAATGCATTATTGCGTAAAATTAAACAAAAGCGATGATGCTCTTAATTTCAGTATTTTGCAAAATGGTAATAAAATGGAAACAATTGGAGGCGAACCAATAAAGATTACAACGATTTGAAAATATTTTTGTTCCATGATTGGCTTATACATAATCAGTATAGAACATAGATAAGGTACGAGATAGTAATTGATTATCAAATGATAATTATCAATGTGGTGTAGACAAGTGATAAACATTTTTTTCATCTTCTTGTTACTTGACTAACACACATTGTTCCTCCATAATGTGGCTTAACCATATGGCGAACGACGGTATTTCGTCCACTTATAAGAATTGATTCTATTAATATTCTTGAACTAACCAAATTGGTTGGACGTATACCGATTGAAACGCAAAAATTCACGCGCTTTATATACATTTGTGAGACGATAAATTTGTCAACAAAGTAAATCTTACATAGTTTACAATAGAGCAACTTAGAGTGGCGCCATCAGTCAGATTATCTCATCTAAATCACTGTCCAAGAACTAATTAAAACTTCGTTTAATTAAATTTTGCTAGGAGCAATTAAGTTGTTTTGAACGGACACGATTAGCACGGAAAGATAATTAAATTATTTGAGCCGAAGAAGCTCATAATTTAAACTTTTGCAATAAGGTGGTATTTAGCGCCTCGGCTAATTACAGTTTATCTTTTTCAACACTTATTTTGCCCAAATTACTAATCATGGACTGGACTATGCTGATTCAGCATCGAGGAACATGAAATGGGTGAGTGGGTTCGAACCCCGTCCAGTCCATCACTCGGAATATCAAACGATAGTGGACAAATAGGTGAGCTAAGGCAGAATAAAAAGTCATAAAAGTAGACAATAAAACAAAAAGTAAAAAAAAAAGTATTGAGATTTCATCTATATGGGTCATCAACAAGTAGGCGTTAGGCATGAGTGCATAAAAAGTAGGGTATGCATGAGTGCACAAAATGTTTAACGTGCATGGGTGCACAATAAAGTATATAGCAATTGGCATTGAGAATACTGATGATAGTAGTGGAGTACGTGAGCACTATGTTTCTTTGACACTTTTCGACACGCGGTATTGGCTTCGTTTGGTTTAAAAGCGACATACATGAGTGCACAAAAAGCGCAAAATGTATAGCAATTATCTTTGACGATACGCCAAGTCAATTTTGCAGTGCAGGGGGCGTTAGCTTTCTCAGAAGCATTTCATAAACGCAGTATTGGCTTGAATCGCTTAAAAAGCGACATACATGAGTGCACAAAAATTGTAACGTGCATTAGTGCACAAAAAGTGTATAAAAATGGCATTGAGATTATGTCAAACTTTCTTAGTGTGCAATGAGCATCACTGACACGATTCATATGCCGAGCACTGACTTGGTAGGCTTATAAACTCGCCATGAGCCTATATTTTGGCATCTGGTGCCACGCTCTCGATAAATAAATTTGGCTTATGATTTTCGTACCTCAGTGTTCAGTTGCTTAATTTAGAGCCACTTGGCTTTGAGATTTGGCTTAAAAGGAAGAATTAAGGTAGAACAATCACATCATTGTATAGTTTGAAGAATACGGGCATACAGTTTCATACGATATCACTCTGAACAAGGCTTTATATTAGAAGTCATTGCAAAGTAAAGAGTTGCTATAGTTTGGCACTACCGGAATATTTCCAGCGCGGCATTGACTGCCCAACATTTTTCAACAATTTCAACATAGGCATAGGTGCTAGTGATTCGAGGCGAACAAATTGGAAATTTAATTCACCGAGTGTTTTGTTGACTCTCTGCTTCAACTTCGATTGACTTAAAGAGTTATTATTTCTAATAATTAAATTGTGATCTCTCAGTACGTTGTGGTGTCGAATGTTTATTGCCGTTTTCATTTTCGGACATTAGCTTCGATATTCTTGGATCGGGGCGTGTATAAGTAGTTTTTGAGTATGAATTTTGCCAGTTTGAGGTTTGCCAGTCTTCGGGTGATCGTTCGTAATTTCGTTTGCTGTCTTTATAACGGTATCGCTTCTTCTTGTACTGGCTTCTTGCATCCCAGTTCGAAGATTCTACATAAGACGGTGATTTGTAGTTGTGGTCATTGGGTGAACCTGGCTTCGTTGACCTTTCTGGAGTCCGACAATATCGATAAGAATCAGCAGTAGATGAGTACAACAAATCCGGGGAACGCAGGAGATTTTCGTCGGGCGATTCGTTGGATATACCGTAGTGTCCCAAAGGCGCGACGTTTTTGTTTCTGGAATAATCATGTATTGATGGGACACTTTGCTTTTTGATTTTCTTGGGCATATCGCTGTCGCTACTTTCATCGGTGCTACCATTACAGTCCATAACATCGTCCATCGACACGAATCTTTTTCGTTTTGTCACATTTATTTCTGTAGTTTTAGCCTTCGGAAAACGATGTATTTTAGCGTCATTTGCGTGCTTTGCCGTAAAGCTATTTGTGTTTTTGACCTCTGTATTCTCTCGACTCAGTGAAGCGTGACATTCAGGGGCTTTTGATTTTTGTTCCGCAACGAAATGCCACAAGTAATGCTTCGCAAATTTATGCTCTACGATATATTTGTCCTCTATCATCACATCTTGCAAGTCTCTTTTTAAAAGTTGGTGCGCCGTTTGCAGCACATGATCAGTGTAGCGTAAAGCGTACTCAGTCACGTGTGGCTGCGGATCCCTGGTAACTTTAACCATCAGATTCTGTAAAATAAATGAAACCATTACCAACCAGAAGCTCGCTGATGCGAAAAATACATTATCCCGCCTTTTTTTCAGCTGAATCCTTTTCAGTATATAGATTCAATCTTTATAAAACTGCTTTCGTAAATTACATTTTCATCGCAATGTTCATACGCTTGGCGGCCTACGGATCAGAATAGTGGTTCGTAATCATTTTCCGCCCATTTCCGTTGCACACAAATTCTTGAAGGGACAAATCACAGGTGAAAAACAAAATCTGTCGGCAAAATAGACACTTACTTCCACATAGAATGAAAACTACCACTCGGTAGCAAAAACAGCAACGTTATTCATTGCTACTACAATGAAAATTAACCATAGTAACACAAATAAAACCAGCAATTTTTATTAGGTTTGTGGCTCACCTCACAATGTTTCATGTTTCTGTGACCCAGCAGTGGCTCGATGGATCAGAGCGTGAGACCTTACTATCTTCGCATTGCAGATTACATATGTCCAAAACGGTGATCGTACATTTGAACCCATGTGTATATCTGCGGGTTCAATCTATATGCGGGTGCTAAAACCCATGTGTTAGGGTTAGTATGGGTTCAAATATTCGTTGAACAAAAAATTTCCATAAGTGCAATAGTATGCAGGTGCAATTGTCGTGGGTTCAAATGTACGCGGGTTCAAATGTAATGGAACCGTCCAAAACACATAAAACAAAAACGACAAACGTACCTTTAATTTCTTTAAATGCGATTCAAGGAATCGTATTTCTTCTTTTACGGCTGTCAAACGTTGCTGGTATTGCTGTCCACAATTTGAGTTGTCTCGGATGTTGTCATTATTCTAAATATGAGATTACTCATTAAATAATTGCCCAACGTCGTAAATATCATAATACCTCATTAGGTGGTTGAAATTAATTTCCATCAGCTTACTAAAATTACAGATTAGGTATTTACGAAGTATTTCTACGCTATAGCTAGCTATAGGTCTACCTATCGTTTTGAATCTGTGCAACGAGGAAATGGTTATATACAGGGTGTCCACGAAGTCCCTTTACAATTTCAATTTTGTTATGAAGTCAGTTCTCAATATATTTTAACTGGGTTTTTTATTTTAATCAATGATTGTTAAGTATTTTTACTCCATTTAATACATCTGTGAGAGGGCCAAAACAATATATGGTCTCGGTGAATTCCCTCTGCAATTTAAAATATTTTCAAGACTTCATGGACACCCTGTATTAATATATTTTCTATGGTTTGTTAGTCTTGATGTATATGTAAACTGTAACTTATATGTAAACTGTAACTAAGTATTTTTATTTTAAATTAGTAATTTGAGTTTGCATGGCAAGTTATAAATTACTACCGGTAGTTACATGAAGTGTAATCGTCGGCCCATGGCTATCCTGTTATCACCCCACCGGCCACCACGAAAGGTGGGGTATTGCCTAACTTTTCCAGCCTAAAATCAGAACCTATGATAAACAAAGTTGATGAGTGACAGGCACCGATATCATTATAAATTATTATTTATTTATTTATATTATTATGTGCTGTTGAGTGGTTAACATCACAACCATCTTTAGATAACCTACCAAATGTAGTCTTTCAGCGTCAGCACTGGGGTACATGGGATAACCGTCATCATGAGCAGGCTTAGAGAGATTAACTTGACACGAAACGCTGACTAAATTTCCAATATTATATTGATTAACCTGTGTGCTGTTTGATGTAGATTCCTTTTCGTTACATCCCATGCCAATCATAGTCTCCATAAGTAACTCTATTGGCATTATCTCCATTGACTTCTCTCCGCCACAATTTGGCGGAAGTAGCAAAAGACAGGCAGAGTTGTCCTCGCCCATCTTGAAGCGTAGATTAACAAGCTATATTATTAAAATAGTTTCTGTAAAAATTAGAAAAAGAAATTAAGATATTGATTAATTAAGCAAATATATTTTTATCTGACTGTTCTAATTTTTAATTTGATTTCGATCAAATGCGAGACGACAGCAGGTTAAGTTAGACGACGTCAGGTCGTAAATCACGATGTTCACGCCGGAGCTATAAAGCAAGATTTCCTTTCCGTAATCATTAATTTATCGCCCTCGCAAATAAACATTAACTCTATCACACTTTCGCGCCTTTTTTGAAGTTCTGCTTGCAAAACAGTCTAGGAAGGTTTACAATAATATATTACGTCTGATAGGCTTTCCTTTCCATGACATAAAATTTCAAAACTTGTTACGGTAGCCAACAGAATCTCGATCTATCGCTATCTAACTATCAATACCTTTACCATCGAAGTCAACGATAGTCTGACACATTGTAAAAGTCCTGGCGATATTTTACGTTACTTGTATATGTTCCAATTTTGTTGCTCTGTTTGTAGAGAAGAGTAACCCACTGAGTTAATAAATTGCTTACATTCATCCCGAAATTGTTATGTATGAACAAGTATGGACCATAGTCGAGACTTGCTAATTATGCAAGGCCGTGCTTGGCACGGATTGCTTGTATAGTTACACTACTTGTTCATGTTGAACAGCGGTTCGAGACTTCGATTAAAATAAACAAACATCAATTAGAAGGCGATTGACCTCGTTAAATGGTTTTAGAATTTGGGTAGCTGTCTCGGCAATCACAAAGACACATTTGTCTAGAATTTAGAACTTTTAAATTTGAGCCATCATGCTTAGGCGTGCTTAGTGTTCGTTCGATGTCTGTATCTATTTTAACGTCTCGCGAGGTTTCGCGGAATTGTTGAGACGCAATCGCATAAATTAAACACCAAAAATTTAGCCATAAAACTGATAACCTAGAATAAAATATTATTAATTGATACGAATATCAAAATCTCTTTCCGTGAAATGGCGATTATAATTGTAATAAAGTTCATAGTCTCAACTTCTTTAGGCAAAACAAGACAAAACTGTATAATTGTGAAGACAAAAGAAACGAAGACTCCTACACTTGTTCACGTAATTATAGTTGGAGGGTCGAGCTGTCAATTAAAATGAACAAAGAAATAACGATTAAAACGTGATTAACCTCATTAAGTGGTTTCAGAATTTGGGTAACTGTGTCCACAGTCATAAAGATACATTTGTTCAGATTTTCGAATTTGCGCCATCAGGGCTTCCGACAAAATGAGAAGACAGAAAAAAAAAACGAAGAAAGAAACTTGTTTACATAATTATAGCCGAAAGAAGCTCAAAACGTCGATTAAAATAAACAAACAACGATTAAAACGCGATTGGCATCGTTGAATGGTTTAGAAATTGGGTAACTGTCTCGACAATCACAAAGACACAGTTGGCCATCAGGTGTAATCGTGCTATTGAAATTGATAACAAGGCGCGAGTGTTCGCGGATGTCTGTATCTATTTTAACGTCTCGCTACTAATTTTGTTGCAGATAGCAGGTGCGAGGTTTCGCGGAATTGTTGAGACCCAATCGGATAAATTAATCACCAGGACGGAAAATTCATCAATAAAACTGATTATCTAGAATAAAGTATTGAAATAGATTGAAAAAGTTGACAATCACACAGACCCATTTGTTTAGAATTTAGAACTTTTTAATTTGAGCCATCGTGCTATTGGAATTGATAACAAGGCGCGAGTGTTCGCGAATGTCTGGATCCATTCCATGGTCTCTGCAGATAATAGGCGCAGGGTTTCGCGGAATGGTTATGATAATTTTTTTTATGATAAAATTCGATGAAGATTTCGACATACGGATTAGAAGTATGACACAAGGACAGATAAAAGACTTCCCAGTTCAATACAAACAACCATATTGCCACTAAGTATAAACACGCTATGTTGTCAATTTGCCTCGTAACAAATCGGTCACATGTATTTTCGAGAGATCAAATAACATATATCTCACATTTCACACTTTTTATTTTCACCAATGTATGTCTGGTTTTCGTCAATCTGAAAATTCTGCAAGTGTGTCGAATCCTTGGTCAACAAGAAACACTTTATTTGAATTTGTTTCAGTGGCGCTTGTCATTATAATTGTGGCGCGTAACTTTGCTCGCATTTGACTGCTTTACATTTGAGCGCGCACGCGTGTCTTTTTTGCATTGAGCAAACTTTTTTAACAATTAACATTAACATATTTTGAATGAAGAATATTAGATGACATTTTCCGAGATATATCCATACAAAAACAAATTACAGATGTAACAATAAGTACTGCAGTTAGACCGATACATAAGAATAAAGAAAGCGAGAGTCTTGCTGCAAAATATTTCAAAACTTTCGAACATTACAGGAATATTATGTGTTATATACAACAAGGTTCTCGAGGCACTCAAAAATAGTTAGTACTCTTCATTCTTGCCACAGCATCCATGCATTATACGCACCGTCGCAAAGGCATAAAAGAAGAATAAGTATCTGTCCCTGCAGTAACCGAATATATAAACACTTAGAGCTGCTAAGCTACTCAATTGCACGTAACCTTTCGTATAACCGATCCCCCGTAACCTCGAGCTCAGCAACTGAACACCGAGCGAGAAAATGTTTCAAAACAAACAATGACCTCATCGTAATAATATTTTAGTTGTGCACCAGACCGTGCGTAAGCTAATCTATGCAAAAACAATCTGTGTACAAATGAGCATCGCGTTTAAAAAAAGGCGCCAAGGTGTTTGAAGCAAAATATTGTTGATTTTGGACCTTGTACTATCCGTGGTAGTTCATTCCGTCATCAATGTCGGCCAGTTTTCAACGAGGCTGTAACGCAACGACCGTGATATCATCGAATCAGCACAGTCCCTTGAAAATATTACTATACAATTTTGAAACATAAACTAAAACATAAGATTTAAAGAATAAAATTGTTCGAAAATAGCAATATTAAAAATTAATAAAAATATGATAAAAACTAATTAACTACAGTACTAATTCAAAAATGAGGTAAGTATATCTTGACATTCTTTTACCAACAACGACACAGGAGCGAATGTGCTGTAGTATCTTCGAATTTACCAAATGTAAATACAACGCCACCAATCATCGCACCTTGCCATCGTTGGCAAACTAATTCCGCTTTGAAAGTCGCGCCGGTATTTACACTATTTGGTCGCCTCCGGGAGGAAACGAAGCGAAAACTTTTTCTCAACCGCGTGCTTCATTATTGTCAAACAATGTTATACTATGACGTAACAATTCAAACTAAATTTTATATACACAACAGTCGTCTCGTACTGTACGGTAGGCTACTCTGTCGTATAACCAAGGTAAAACAGAATAGCAGATGCGTTCTTACAAGTTTGAGGTACTCTTGTCGATAAAATCGATATTCACGCAAATATAATCGGATCGATAACACCGTCCTAATTTACTGTATAAGAATTGATTGCGCTAAATCCTATATATACAGGTCAATAGAACTAGCACAATGATTCATCGTCTCACGAATATAAGTATACAGTATATAAGGGCGAACATTCTTGAGCGAACTAGTCTTTGTCCAGTCACTCTCGCTTCAAACTTTCCTCTTATTGTTTCACTCAAGTGTGCTCAAGAAACAACAAAATAGCAATTCATTTCCAACTGCGGAATGCGATTTTTTCTCAAACAACGAGAATTTAGCTAATCGATCCATATGTACAATCTGTGTCCAGGATTAATAAAACCGAGTGACGCAATTGACTTACAGTTAATGATAATATCCATTGTATATACGGCGGTTCGTGGAACCAAAACAATACGCTGTGCCGTAACCACTATAGTACATTATATCTCAGAAAAAGGCTTTTTGATTTGCTGTCGTTATAGAACAGACATCATCTTTCGGCCTGGTTTTCGAATCGTTGCCTGTTTTAGGTTTGATTTTAGGTTGTGCCTTATGTTTATTTTTAGGTTTGACTGTTCAAACCAAATTAAAACCTTACTCATGCAATGCGACAATGCGAATTAAAATCTATGCGTCATGTTTCAAATTCATTGGTAATAGTACTGGTACATTGCTTCCTGCATAAGATATTTCCTGTTATCGTCGTTGTGTCCCGATGGCAGTGGAACATAAGGTACAATATCATATTTATGATACCTAGAATAATACGAGGTTTCCGTACATTTGAACCCACAACAATTGCACCTGCCTACTATTGCACCTATGGAAATTTTGTATTGGGTTACCGTACATTTGAACCCATGTGTATATCTGCGGGTGCAATCTATATGCGGGTGCTAAAACCCATGGGTTAGGGTTAGTATGGGTTCAAATATCCGTTGGACAAAAAAATTTCCATAGGTGCAATTGTCACGGGTTCAAATGTAATGGAACCTTATTGAACATTATTATAGTAAAAATTAAAACACTTGATTGCTATTTTTAACCACTTTGAACAAGTAACACTTCATTTTATGACAAGGAGCAATGTACCATAATTCTATTCTATATATTTCCAGTAGCTCATGACATTTCAGTGGACGTGCATGACTTTGCCCATAGTGAGTTGGCACGACCTTGTTTTGAACAAATTCTATTAAAAATAGGCAATTAAAATAGTTTAAGACATTAAAGAGCAATTATGAATGTATTAATTTAATGATTTGAGCCCCCTCAGGGTGAGAAATCGCAGCTTGGTACCTTCAAGACAATAACAAAACTTTAGGACGCTAACAATGTAATTAAGCATTAGAACGGCGCCAATCACACCGATATAATTATCTTGATTAGCTTCAAAACGGTGACCGTACATTTGAACCCACGTACATTTGAACCCATGTCTATATCCGCGGGTTCAATCAATATGCGGGTGCTGAAACCCATGGGTTAGGGTTAGTATGGGTTCAACAATCCGTACAACAAAAAAATTTCCATAGGTGCAATAGTATGCAGGTGCAATTGTCATGGGTTCAAATGTACGTGGGTTCAAATGTAATGGAACCTTCAAAACAAGTCGAATTTGCCCTCAGGGATTACTTTTTCGTGTCGATTGTGTATAAAAACCGTACATTTTGAGCGGTGACATTCATTATCTTGAAATGTGTTATCATGAGAGGAAAGATAATTTTGGGCTCTGTAAATTCGCTTCAATACTTTTGACTTTCGAACGAATTTCTGGTTTGGTCCAAACTAGATAACAACTCTCGGGTTCAGTTGAACTATTTGGTTCGCTCCTAATGCGACCGAAACTACGTATTGTTTCGAGATATACGGTACATAGCATATATTTTAAGCTTTTCCATTCAAAGATCTGAAATTCAAGTTCCATTCATGTCTACAAATCGCCCCTGTCAGATATCCACCAAAGTTTAATTAACTTTCACTGTTATAGCGAAAAACAAACCCATCCCCGTATCCCACAATCCCACGGAACCTAGCTCGGAAAGCTGAAAGTGTCTCACAGAGTAAATGCTACTCGAACTATACGTTACTTCGATCACCCTCTGAACCTTATCTAGCATTATCTATCACGGTGCAGATTCAAATCGTAGTACCAGATAGTATATCCACAATCGGTACTCTCGTAGTGTGTGCACGAGGTTATGTAAATACATCCGCACCTACAATTATTCATATTAACCATAATCTAATTCAAGGTGGTCCAAGATTGGCAGCTCCGCGGGCCACAAAATAACTCTTGCATTGTTCGCGGGCCGCAATAGTGCCAAGAACTTCGCATGTTGCCTCAGCAAGCCATAACACTAGTCAATTCAGTAACATTAGTGGTGCAACAATATGTCAAAAGATTTTTTGGTTAATTCTACGACGAAACAAAAGAAATGCGATTTTTTGATTCCTATCCGAATGCGACGCGGGCCAAAGATAATGAAGTGGCGGGCTATATGTGGCCCGCGGGCCTGGGTTTGGACCACCCTGAATTCTAACTGTAGTAATATTAGGACGTCTCGATTTTTATTGGAATTTGCTCGAAGCAAGAATTCCCAACGCTCGCTAAAAACTAGAACTAACTTACTTAGTCTCTCTTTGCGAGCAAGAATTTGCTATAAATCCTATTAGAAGTAACCAATTAAAATTGTTTTATGTCAGTCTAGACTAGAGCAATTATGACTGAATCAAATTAATGATTCGACCTTCCCCCAGGGTAAACAATCTCAGCTTGGTACCTTCAGTACGATAAATTTTAGGACGTTAATAATATAATTAAGCGTTAGAGTGGCGCCAATCACGTCGAGATAATTATCGTAATTTATCATTAATTTCAAAACAAGTCTGATTTGCCTCCAGGGATTACTTTTTCGTGCCGATTCTATATAAAACTGTACATTTTGAGCGAGATTTTCATTTGCTTGGGAATGCTGTTGCGTCTGTACATGGAAATAACACAAATTTCAAGCTCTGTAGATATGCTTCAATGTGCGCTCAAGTTTAACTTTGTGCAAATTTCTGATTCCGAGCAAAACATATGACGAAGTTATAAGAAATCAGTCTCTGGACTTCTAAAATATTCTAATGCGACCAAATTCACGCCTTGTCTAGCGACATAGCGCCTTTCGAGTAAGTGAAAGTTTGGGAATTCGAGCTCATGCTCAACCACTCACCATGGTTTACTTGAATGCCACTGATATAACGAAAATGAAACGGGGCTCCCGAAGTATGCGAACCAAGATGGCGGACATCGGAATGTAATATGTGTACTAGGTTAGGGTCAGGCCATAATTTTAGGTATAAATACCACGGGAGGCTCTTGGCTAGTCTTCGAACTGATAATAGGACTAAAATAAGGAAAATTGGAAAAAATTATCGCCTAACCCTAACCTGTTACCCATGTTACGTTCCGATGTCCGCCATCTTGGTTCGCTAACCCTACTTCTTATCCTATACAGTCCAGCTGATAGAGCCGCAGAGTCTCGTAAAATAACAGTTCAAATAATCTGCATCACGGTCATTCTATATCACATACCAATCAATGAAATCGTCATGCCCACCACCTCACACAGGATGTAATACTTTGAACAAGCAACTTTAATGATTCCAGTCCTTCTGAAAGTACGGTAGCTTCCTTACCTGCCAGTGACGTCATCGACAGGGCCTTGCTCTGGGCGAAAGGCATATAAAAAATGGGTACTCCTGTAGTGTGTTTACCATGTTAGGGTTAGGCCATATTTTCATTCCGATTTTTATTTATTTTAGTTCTATTACGAGTTCAGGGACTGCCTATGTTAGCCAAGTGAATATACCCCCAGTACATAGGCTTCCGTCCCTTTATACAACTTGATATAAAGTAGGCGAACAAAATTAGTTACCTTCATATTGGTACGCACACTTTTGGAGCGCCTAACTGTCATTTGTCTAAACTAAACACTAAAAATAGCTCCCATCTGTTAATGCTATAATAACAACATCAATCTACAATTTTCTACTCACGATCATAAGATAGCTTCAAAATCTATGATGGATTTGAGTTTCAGCAATTATCCTGTTTAGTAAACAACGTGGTGGAATCCTGAATTGATGCGCTCGTACATACCAAAGTTCCAAAATAACGCCCACTTTGTAAATCTAAAAGGTATTTTGTTCGGAAACAATCGTGTTTCAGAAGTGTACGTTTGTTTTAAAGAATAATAGAATTGAGATAGGCGGGAAACCAGTGAATAGAGGCACTCATGCATACCAAGGTTCTTTTTTAAATCTAAAAGGTATTTCAATAGGAAACAAGAATACAAATAGTGTGTCGTGCTTGAGCGTTTGGTTTCAAAAAATAATGAAATCCGTGGCATGTTTGATTGGGACCAAAGCATTGTACGGATTTTATTGGTTTTATAGTGTAGATATCTTGGGTTCAAACACAATGACTCTATCCCAGCAGGGCGTTTTGAACTTGGTAGACAATACCAGACTAGTGTGTTAAATTTTGGGCGCTCTCGAAAGATGTGTACAAAGATGACGCACAACCTGAACCCCAACCTGGTACACATACTATGTTCAGTATACACATACTATACTTCTGGCGCTCCAAATTTTGTAGGCAATGCGGAATCGGAAAGATTCCGGTCCCTTTGAAATAATAATAGTAGCACTTTACATATCGTGGGATACCAGTGGCCGCTAACACAGGGCCTTGTTCGGAGCGAAAAGCGCGATGGAGCGCCTTATAATCACATAAAAGCAAATATAATTCCTTGACATTTCGTTTTAGACTTTCCCAGGAAAACATAATTAAAGTAGGTCAGAAAAGTGATTGTTTGCTTATTTAAACAATGAGTGTCGCAACATGGGGCTTACGCCTATTAAAGAATCAATAAAATCAGCAATGGCCTAATTAAATAACAGTGGGAAACTGAGTTTTTGCATTATACACATCCGTCAACGCAAAGTGTAGAAAAAAGTTGTTCGTCCCATAGAAACCCGATTGATAGCACGGGGTGTTGTTCCTTTAAAGACCTTTTACAATTTCAATTTTGTTATGAAGTCAGTTCTCAATATATCTTAATTTTTCATGTTTGTTGTTTTTTAATCAGCTTATTAATCAAAGTATTTTTACTTCATTTATACATCTGTGAGGGCCGAAACAATATAATTATGGTACCGATAAATACCCTTTTCACTTTTAAAAAAATTTGAGACTTCATGGACGCCCTATATTTTATTCAATCCTCATTTCAGCGTTTCAGAATAAATTGTCAACCTAGTGTTCCACATATTATTTTATAAAACTTTCTTAGAATTTAGAGAAATGAACAGATGTATAAATATTTTTTTATATAAACGTCATCATGGTGCAAAATCACTACAATACTCAAACACACAACGAAAATTCTGGAAAGCCGCAAAAACTTTAAATAGGTTGTAAAGCCGGAGACGCAAAGCCTTGGCAGTTGGCACTGTCTTACATTGTCATGAAAATCGAACTAAAATACACGTCTTGCTGCACACCAACACAAATCTTTCTGTAACGTTGGACTCTCGGTCTCAATCATGGCCAGACGAGACGTTACAGAAATATACGTGTGTTAGTGTGCAGCAAGACTCGTGAATCTCTCAGAATAGTTCACTCTGGCCATAGCATCTTTGCATCATTTGCCTACGGATCCACCGGCACCGGGACATAGAAGAAAAATGGGTAGTTAGTCCCGCAGAAATCAAATAATTAGCGTGAAATGTCACGTGACTTATCCTAAATTTCACTTACCTGATGAATTTTCCTTAGCACCAATCTTTCAGCGACTAATAGTATAGTCGCTTTCAATCCAGAATACGGTCCTGCAGACAGATTTAAGTTGCAATAATGCTGTTTTTATTGAATATAAAGCCGCAGTCGAACCTTTGATCCTCTAATTTTACCCGAACAAACGTTTCAAGATCTTATATCCTTCCTAAAAACCGAATAAACCTGAATCTTGTTATCAAAACCGGCATCGCGGATAATAATCATGCCCTAAGGCGTTATTAAGCTTTTATAATATGTGTTTTCATGATGGTTATATAATTAATAGTTTCATACCATAAAAAGAAACCGAATGTGTGATTATCTCACAATCTATTCGGTATAACATAGACGCAAACTTACCTGAATTCCGTCTAGAACTTGCTTTCATGACGTCACTCCAAACAAGGCCCTTGATATGAAGTTAGAGTAGAGTATATCACAGCCTATCCTTGGTCATACATGAACGCTGGAATGTGAAACATTTATTTTCTTAGTATTCATCGAATTTTGACAAATTAATGTCTTTCAAATATACACCTGCCGAAGCTAGTCTATGCTTAAGCGAATCTTGGTAATACTTTTATTACGTATAATAGGATTTTACCTATTTTGTTGTAATCAAGTAAATAATAACAAAAAATAATTCTAAATCCCAACAAGTAATAAATACGATTAGTATTAATCTACGAAACCATCTCTTCAGAGAAATAATAAATTGGTAAAGTAATAAAAACAATATCTCGAGTTCAAGTTTACAATACCGAGTACGTGGCCAAATATACCGTATTATCATTCCGTGAACCCAAAGCATATTCACTACTCACTAATAGAACAGCATAACGTCGAATATTCGCCGTTTGATTAAGTTATATCTTGTTTTGTCCGAAGAAGTTAGAGTTAGACCATGATCTAACGAAAGCTACAAATATACTTTCTATTTTGTGGAAAGAGACCTTATACAAATCTCAAATAATAATAACGATTTTTTTATACTTTCAAGTATGTGTCTTATGATATAATCTATTACTCACCTGCAGAACGGCACCACAGAATGAGACGCAATGCAACGCAGTCTACCCTTCCGGAAATGAATTTATGCATCATTGTATCGACGACGTAAAACGACAAAATATGGAAAATGCTCGAAGGCGTACATGTGCATATTCTTTGATATCGATGTTGGCGCATTTTTTTTAGTTTTTCGAGAAGTAATGGCTCTTCATACAAGGGGTGTGCAACCTAATGTCCCCGGGACAAATGCGCTCACAAAGAAAAATTGTGCTGCCCGCAGAGAAGTGCCAATTTTGAACGCTGTGCGGCCCGTGAAATGAGGGTTCAATTAAGTTGTGCGAGTAATTACTATCCCTTTGCGTTGCAAAGCCTTACCTGAGTCCAATTTATTATCTATGTCCTTGCTTAGATCCTTAGATATCAGTGGACGCTTATTCGCAGTTAAGACGTGAAAAGCGTATTATAAAAATTATTTCATCTGTCTGGAATTCGTGTAGGATTTATCAAAATAATTGTCATGATCTTGGAAAAAATTTAATCCTTTTTTTCAAAATCGTCGCTTAGCTGTACATTGCGCTAAAAATATTTTTGCCATTCATTTCTAAAAATTCGCCGATTTTAGTACAATTTCAATAACATGAAAATGTAGTGAATTTTACATAGTTTTACACAGCTTTGCAAGGAAATACCTCGATCCATATAAATTATTTTCTCACGCTTTTACCGATACGGGTGACGAATTTCTTGTTGTGTCAATTGTTTTCCTAGCCACCTGAATGTAGTAGAAATAAAATAGTAAAATAACCAAAATTCGGTAGTAATTCGATGTCTGTATATACGGTATGGGTAATTCACGAGTATGCGGTCATTTAATTATGTAAGGCAGTGGCTCGCAAACGGTTGGGCGCGCCCCGGAAGGGGGATTGGTGCGTGGGCAATTTTTTGAGGGGTGTGAATCTAATTAAAAAGAATATAATTTGTTAGATTTGATCTTGCTCTTCTTATTTTGAATATTTGCGTTCCATCCGCGTATTTTTAACGTTTTTTTTGAAAAAAAAATTTACTTTCGTCTTACTCTCTGTTTCTTGTAGCTTACTGTTAGCTAGTTATTTGTGAGACTTGGCAAATTCTGAAAAAGAACTCAGCTTAAAATAGGTCAAAACTACTGAAGTAGGGGGTGATAAACTTGTAAAGTCCTAGGCACTCGACACATTATATATACAGGGCGTTGAAAAAGTTACACAAAATTAAGGTAAAACCTTTGGTCATTGCGACGTTAAAAAAGTAACTGGTAAAAAACGTCAGTCGTGAAACGTTTAAATGGCATTTCACCGTAATTCAATATTGTTAAAAATTGTCTGTCGTTAAATGCTATAAGGAACATTTAATCTTAACTTCAGTTGATTTTGCGTTACTTTTTTAACTCTCTGTATAATGCAGTTTAATGTCGCAACAGCATGGATATTTTATCTATTAGATCATTTTGCCATTATCATTGCAGCCATGTAAATAGGCACAAACAAACATTTATCACAGACAGTAATATAACTGAACAGTAGAACAGTTGAAATATGTATGTTTGGGGAGAGTCTGACCTTGATCAGACCAAACTTTACAGAAATATATTTGTGTTAGTGTGCAGCAAGGCTTGAATTACTAGAATTACTTGGAGAAGTAATATATTTCATGCATTGTAGAATAGGATAGGGTTTTCATATTTATTCCAGGGGAGAGGAAAGCCTATTAGACGCCATTCCATGTCGAGTATGAGAATAGTTAGTCAGTTATTTATTTCAAGCGCATGACTTGGTGGATGAGGAAGCTGTAACTGACCATTGGTTACAGGAACCACACTATAGCAAGTCCAGCCATCCTGTCACATATAATTATCCCAACAGGATGTAATTCAAGGCCTGATGGCGGGAGTGCTACTAAAGCTTAGCATGTGGCTTGGCCTTATTAGTTATTTGAACATTCATCTCTTGTTTTAGGTCACAGCTTCTCACCTGGAGTGGTTCGAGGATGTAATGATGTCATCGCAGCAGCAATCCAACTTCACCACCGGGTGTCATCAGCGTTCCTACCAACTGCAATCAAATTTCACTATATCTTCAATCTCCGTGATCTTTCTAACATTTTCCAAGTAAGATTTGTGTTAATAGTCAGTGTTAGTAATATCATACATATTGCTTCTATCATTCTAAATTATTTTTAAACCCATGGGTGCTAAAAGTCTGTAAAAGGGGGACCACAAGCCATAAAATGTTGGATACAACTAGTTCAATACATCTGGAAAAATTCGAACGCATATTTTAAAGCAGTAAAGTTTAAATCTTTATTAAACCAATTCATTGGCAAAATCATAAAAATTCACACTGGTAACATTACCGTGCCATAAACTGACTGTTAACTTGTTGTCATTGTGCCGTACATCTTGTATATTGTACTAGAGTTTTATTTGTATATTTGATGTCTTTTGTCCTACTACAACACAGCACTCCTAAACTGCAGTTATTCTTGTTAGGGGTTCATGTTACACATTGTTTCTTAGGCCAGTAAGATCTTGAACATGTATCGCGTCTCTGTTTTACTGTTTAAATATTATACTGTTATATTTCTGAGGCAAATAAACATACATACATCATTAAATTTGAAACGAATCAAACAGATTTGATAGTCATTCTTTGCTCAAGACAGAGTGTAAATATTTTTCAGGGTCTCCTGTTCTCAAGCCCAGACTGTATCAAATCGCAGTTTGATTTCCAACGATTATGGCTCCATGAATCCAGCAGAGTGTACGGAGACAAGATGGTGGAGGAAAGAGATTCAATTAATTTTGACAAAATTCTGGGTGAAATTTCAAAAAAAAATTTCGAGGTATAATTTTGATTTAATCTTGACTAAACAATTTCAATAACATGATGTAGAACTTTTGTAAGGTCCTTCTATTCTTTAAATCTATGCACTTTAACTGAAATTGTTTATGACATGTTTGACACTTTACTTCTGGTTACAACTATTAATGGTACTGCTTCGGATCCGGGTTGCAGCAACTAACATTACTAAATTTGAGATTGATTTTTCTTTGAACATTTGACTGGAGTCACTTTAGTTGTCTGGTGTGGAACTTTCCTAGATGCTTGAAACTCTAGCTCAAAAAATGTCCTGTCCGATGACTTTAGTGGCTGTTTTTCGAACAACTCTTCGTTTGACTTCTGATGATTGATAGAAAAAAGAGATCAGGGATTTTCATTGTCGTATTACAGAGGAATTAGTTTCGGATGGTTTTGTAAATGTGTTACAAAGTTAGAACATTTTTTGCCATTGTCATTGTATTGCATTCATTAAGAACAATTTCGCTCAAAATTACACAAAAATTACTTTGATAAGCTCACCAACCAACTTTCGACTTATTGCTATTGTGTGCTATTTTCAGGCAAGTGAAGAATATCAAGATAGGCTTCATAGCCAACCCAACATATTCTGTCACTTTGCTGAAGGCACTCAGGAACCAAAATACATGCCTGTTAAAAAGTTTGAGAATCTACAACACACTTTGGCAGAATCACTTGAAAGCCACAATGATGTCTTACCTGCTATGCCTCTAGTCTTGTTCAATGATGCTATAAATCATGTGTGAGTATCATATCATAGTATCATTTGGTATTTACCATTAATATCAGTAATTTTAAAACTTACCTCCCCAATCTGTTGAATTAAATGTTAGAACCTTGGGTGTCGCTGCTCGATAACCAGTTTTGGTTTCCCGCGTCTTCCCTTCCCCAGTAATGTAAATATCATTTTTTCCCAATTTTTTGCATGATTGAAAAAATAAACTTGACTTGACTTAGGTATCATAACTTAGTGAATGTTGGTTTTGACCATATGTTGGCATTACTGGTTAAATATTTTGGGTTGGAATTCTATGCCTGGAACTTTTCCAAGGGTGCAGGTAAATTAGCTAGGTCAACCAAGATCAAATCAGCGGCTGGAATTTTTCGCTCAATGGCAGTTGCGTTTTTTGCGTATTTGATTGTTTGGTCTTGTCTGCAATTAAATATTAAAAAATGAGTAGGTGACATTAATAGTCATTCCATTAATGCCCTAATGAGTATGAATATCATAATGAATATCATAATTGATTGTATGATGGTTTTAACTACATGTTGGTTTAATATCTTGGGTTGAAATCTCGTGCCCACTTCACTAAGATTTAACATAAATTGGTGGGCAATGTTAAAATGAAAAATTCTGATCATTAAAATAATTGTATTTGCTTCGCTTATCAATGCTTGTTTGTACGAGTTCTTATGTAAAGTGCAAGTACATTTTGCAATGAAATATGTCTACAAGTTTATTATACACATCTGCCAATTTCCAAATTTTTAAGTCACATATTTTTATACTCATATATGTCTGTGAGAGAAATACACTAATTGTTTCAAAAACATCATATTGTTTTTGTCTTTTATTTAGATGCCGCATCAACAGGATCTTGGAATCTCCACGTGGCAATGCTTTATTGGTTGGTGTAGGTGGGAGTGGCAAACAAAGTCTGTCGCGATTGGCTGCTTATATTTCTGGACTAGAAGTTTTCCAATTAACATTGAAGAAGGGATATGACATGCAGGACCTCAAAGTAGGACAATAAATTTATCTATATTTTGTTGTAATTTTAATAGCAGGTCTGACAGTGGGTGCATTGTGTTAAGCATTACCAACATGCTCAACATTGCACCAATAATCACTCATGTGGGATCCCGAATTGAATTATATGGGGAATGCTTTTTTTTGAGTGCTGGTGAACTGTTCATCATACCAGTGTGACTGACAAAACAGCTGGAAGATTGCATGATGTACTTTTGTACCTTCCTGGGGTGTATATCATGATACCGTTTTTAAAGTATCGAATTTGATTCCCAATTTCCCTCCATTTCCATACCCCTGTATCAACCATCCTCCTATCTTTATATATGAATTTCAGTGGATGTTATATATTTGACAGGCATGCATATAATACACTTTCTTATTCCCGCTGTCCCCAAAGCAGTAGCCAAAATCTAAAATTTTTTTTTTATAATATAGTGTAATCCAGGGTTTTCCAAACTGAGATACATGAACTTCCAGGGGTCTGTGATGACTACATGGGGGAAACGCAACAAGATGGAAAGAGTCTGAAACATATAACAAACAGATCATAATTTAAAGTTGTTAGTCGTCAGCCTGCCTGTATTCAGTCATGAGTTTTATTTCGTCAAATGTAAAAACATTATTCTTCCTCATTGGTTATGCACAGAAATTGATACGACATAGGATAGGGGTCTGTCAAAAATAAGATTCACAAACAGGGGTGTCGCGGCCCAAAACGTTTGGAAAACCCTGGTCTAATCCTATTTATCTACTAATTATTAAGTGTGAATCCCAAACATAACAGTCAATATTGAGTTAGTTGACTCGGATACCAAAAATCTTTGTTTGCTTCGTGTTTATAATAACTGTAGTTTGAATACAAAATAGTAATTCTCTCTTTCTATTATTTGAAAACAAGCATTACACAAAACAGTAAGTAGAGCAAAATGCAAATAGAATAGGATAACATTTACATATTTATATTGGGGGAGAAGAAAGCCGATAAGATGGCTCAATCATATGGCAAACCACGGCATCTTGTCTGGTTACCAGTTCATGTCGAGTATGGAATTAGTTAGCCAGTTATTTATTTCCAGATGCATAACACGATGGTAGAGAAAGCCGCAACCGACCAGCAGTTCGAACCTGCGAATCCACACAGGGTAATCAGGGTTGTGGTGGCAAGCGACTTCCCAACGCCTCGCAAATATAACGATTTATTCATTACACATATAAAATTGCATCCAGGTTGCATTCGAATTCCATTATCATTACATTTTGTTATAACTTTTGCTTTTTTTTCTCCATTCAGGCCGACTTGGCAAATCTATACATGAGAGCTGGAGCAAAAGGAATCGGAACAATGTTCCTAATGACCGACGCTCATGTTGCGGATGAAAGATTTCTTGTGCTCATCAATGATCATCTGGCTACAGGTGAATAGAACATTTCCCAGTACAGTAGCAAAAACTTATATTTGTTCATGGCCATAAGGATTTATCTTTTTCAGGGTCGTCCAACCCGCGGCCCGCGCGGTATAATTCGAAGCCCGCTGTCTTTCACCAATCTGAGTGACCATTGAAACCACTAATAAAAAAATTATTCCTCGTCGGTCAGACGCCGTGGCCTACCATGGTATTTAATCTTTTTTCCTGTCTGTGAAGCTAGAAGAGGCAGTTTTTATGACCTCAATATTTGACAGCACTTACTTGTACGAGCAAGTTTTTTCATGAATTAACCATGACTTTACACTTTACTGTATCTTCGTATTTTCATTGCTCTTATAACTTTGGTGAGAGGGTTTTGTTTGTTTTTTCATTAACCTGTAGTCGGTAGTGAAAACTAGAACATAACTACCATGTCGAGTGGCCCACGCAATCATTCGTAAACTAGATGTGGCCCTCGACCATGTGGTTAGACAACCCTGATCTTATAAGACAGGAAAAGGGTGAACCACGGCCTCTTGTTTGTTACCAGCCTGTGTCAGATATGGAATAGTTAGTCAGTTATTTCTTTCAGATGCATGGACTTGATGGTTGGAGAAGCTGATCGACATACTATCAGTTCAAAGTTTTATTTGTATTTTCTCATGAATTATCGTAGAATTATTAAGGGGTCGAAGGTTGTGGATCACTGTATGTTAATTCTGACTATTTGGCTCCTCCACCTGAAATATGGAGCTCATGTTAAACTTATAAATAGACATAGTTTCACTGAATCCAAAGACAATCTTTGACGCGCGCCTTTCTTTTTCCTCCTGAATCATAGGGGAACTTGCGCGATAATAACCAGCCTTGATTTCTTGGCCTCCCTTCACCCTGTATTTCATTTTTGTGTTTATTTTATGTTTGTACAGAGTGTATTTTAAGTATGGTGAAAATATAAAACTGACTGACTATTATTTTTGTTCAAAGGTGAGATCTCCGACCTGTTCACAGAAGAAGAAATGAACGAAATCATATCGGGCGTTCGTACAGAAGTACGGGCAAGTGGAGAATTTGATTCTAGAGAAAATTGCTGGAAGTTTTTTCTTCACAAAGTCAGAATGCAATTGAAGGTTTGGAAATCATTCATACTTCATTATTGTGTATTGTGTAATTACTGGTTCCTTGTATGAGACGAAAATGAGTGTATATTGTTTTCCTCCGGCGATGGGTAGGAAAACTGGTACCCCCGTAGTGTATATACCAGGTTAGGGCATAATTCTATCTTGATTTTTCTTATTTTAGTTCTAGTACGAGTTCAGGAACTGTCCGTGTTAGTCAAGTGAATATAGCCCCTGCCCATAGGTTTTAGTCCCTTTATACAACTTGATGTAAAGTAGGTGAACAAAATTGGTTACCTCCATATTGGTACACACACTTCTGGAGTGTCGAAAACTTATTTTGAGTATACTTTGACGAATTGTAAGTTTTCAATATTTTTGGTTAAAAATCATGCATATTTGAGAAATTAATATTTCATTTAGTACCTAGGTAGATCTTGTATCGTGTGAGATGATATTCTGCTGGCATTTTGTTGGTGATCAATTTCAATTGAAAAACACTTATTACGCAAAATTTATGCTTTATAATATGGCACAACCAAATGTTTCTCTGCTTGAGGTTACTATTTGGAAGTTTTTTGATAAAACAGACTAATTGTACAAAATTCATTATGTAGATGAGGCCACCAATTTATGCTAATTTTTATACAGGGTGGTCGCTAGAAAAACGGAAAATTCGTCGAACAGCTATAACTTTTAAAGAATAACTTTTATAAAGCTTTTCAAAGGCATATATTATTCTTACACTCATAGATACTAAAAATATCGTCCGTGCACTTTAGAGAAGTGTATTAACGTAGAAGTCAAGGTATTAAGGCATTTCGGAGGTTTTTTTCATTTCATTTCGTTTCAATTCAACCTAAACTTATATGCATTTTATTCATGATCTCATCTGACCTTCAAATTTACTGCTTTTTTAGCGACCACGTTGTATAAGCATTGTATATGTTATAATTTTAGGTTGTGTTGTGCTTTTCACCAGTTGGATCAACATTACGAGTTCGTGCTCGTAAATTCCCTGCCCTCGTTAACTGTTGCTCAATTGATTGGTTTCACGAATGGCCACATGAGGCACTGGTGAGTGTCAGTCATCGTTTTGTCGCTGAAATTGAGGAGATTGAAGCCCTGGAAGACAGCGAAGAACTTGTTAAAAGCATCTCACAGTTCATGGCCCATGTCCACAAAACTGTAAACCATGCGAGTCATTTGTACAGAGCCAACGAAAGAAGGTAAGATATGTATAAATTGGGTTTTAGGTGGTTTCTAGGGTGTGCACTACTACGAGATAATTTTGAATCCTACCATTTTTTCACCAGTCCTAAAACTTGGCATGAAGTTATTAAATCTTTAAAATGAAGCTGCGAAAGAATGTAATCTGATTTTTTCTGGAGTTTTCCTCAGTTTGCACAGAATATTGCATATATTACATCAATCATCAATCATTTTATTTCTGTTCTCTTAAAAGTAAGCAGACAAACAAAATGCAGAGATATCTGGAGGGCGAGCATAACTTAAATAAAGTTAAAAAGCGTGCAAATATGTGCCCACCCACCAAAAGTAAAACAAGCACACAAAAGAGTGAACGTGATTCAGAATTGGACAATACTTTTAACACATTTAAAAAAAAACAGCAAAATTCAGGGAGATAATTAAATGTTATAAACGACTCACATCCAACTTTTTATCTGTTCATGTTAACAGCAGTTCGTAGTTTTTATTGACAAATCTGAATCCAATATTGATCGGGAAATCTATTTCTAGTAGTCTCTCACCAATCTCTACCAAATTTTCTCCTGTAATGATTTATTATATTTGAAAGTATAACAACACATCGTATTCTGCATTATAAACGTGCTTGTGAATTCAACATTCTCCACCATGTGTATATTCTCAGGTTTGAATTTAACATTGGGTGATTATTCGGCAAACAATTGTCAGACCCATTTACCTTTGCAGTAGGTTTTAGTCATTTATGATCTACCGGTAGTCATTTTTCACAATCCATGTTCAAGCTAGCTCGTTTTCCCTTTTCCTGAAAAAAACATGGAAACTCAAATGGATTTTAAATGAATGAATATTTTCATTGATATCTATTTAGGCACAACTACACAACACCAAAAAGCTTCTTAGAACAAATTGCTCTTTATCGACATCTTGTGAAATCAACTGACCAAGATCTCACAGCAAAAATGGACAGATTGGAAAATGGATTGCACAAGTTGTTGAATACTGCGGAACAGGTAGGATTTACATCTTTATCCTGAGGGAGAGGAATGCCGATGAGACGACTTAATCTCATGGCTTACCACGACTTCTCGTCCTGTCACCAGTTTATGTCGAGTATGGAATTAGTTAGCCAGCTATTTGTTTTCGGAAGCATGGATTTGAAGGTGGAGGAAGTTGTAACTGACCAGCAGTTATGTAAACCACCCTACAGTTTCCAATATACCTGATCTGGATTGGTAGACTAGAGGACATGGTTCACTCTCTGTTTGAGATTTCTTCTTTACCAGCATAAATACAAAATGCTAATCTTATAATTCAATTTTTGCCTGAGATATGATTCACATATATAATCACTTTAAAGGTTGACGACCTGAAAGCGAAATTAGCAGTTCAAGAGGTTGAATTACGATCAAGAAGTGAAGAAACTGAGAAGTTACTTGCAAATGTTGGACAACAGACTGAACATGTCACTGCTGAGAAGGAAGTGGCTGATGAAGAGGAGAAGAAGGTTTGTTGTTATTTTCAGATGCAACTTACAAAACAATTTTATTTCGATCTTTTGTTTACAACAGAGAACACAAACAAAAAAATAAAATTACAGACCGAAAACCGATGGAAAGATCAGGAAAATAGTCAAAACCTAGAAAAAAGTTGACAAGTGCTGTAACCAGTGCTTGTGCCCATTCAGCCATTGAGTATAACAGGGAGGGATAGTGGAAGAGTTTAGGTTATTTGTCTTACCATATATACCAGAGAAATATATAGTAGTAAATATCCAAATGCTTACAATAAATAACTGAGTGGTAGGTAGCCATCCGACTGTTTGGAGTTTGCGGACCGCCTGCTACAATTACAAATGTGTATACAGATTGGATTAAAACATCATGTTTTCAACCATTGTACATCAGTAAACTCCTAAATTTTCACTCTATATACAGTTCCATTCCGCCCTTTTATGTACTGTGATGTTTCCTATTATGTTCCTTTATGTATGGTAATTCTTCCTATAACAGGTTGCCGTCATCGCAGCAGAAGTTGCAGAAAAACAGAAATCATGTGAAGAAGAGTTATCGAAAGCAGAACCTGCATTGCAAGTGGGTGGATTTAAATTAATAAGTTGATTTACAATTTGGACCAGTGGTTCTCAAACTTTTTAAGCCGCAGGCCTTTTTCAGAATTTGTCAAGTCTCGCGTCCCATTCTAAAAATAACTAGCTAACAATAAGCTACGAATAACTGATAGTAAGGCGAAAGTATGTTTCATTCAAAAAACATGTTAAAAAAATATATGTGGATGGAATCGCAATCTTTAAACAATGAGGAAAAATAAATATCCAAAATAAGGCAGTAAATTTCGAATATAGAAATTTTTTTTTTAATTAGCTATACGCCTCCTCAAAAAATTGTCCACAAGGGGGGCGCACCCCACCGTTTAAGAACCACTGATTTTAATATTATTTATTTGTTTTCTAGGAAGCAAATATTATCAAATTCAAAAAGTATTAAGGCTCATCCTAATGATATATTCTTTAGGCCCCTCTGCCTATGTGTTCCTATTTTAATGCAATTTATTTTACGGCGACAAGTGTTTCATAATTGTTGTTACTTATCGATTTTAATCGGTAAGTATGTTGATAGATATTTGTCTGTCTGTGTCTTGTCTGTCTGTTAGATGTACGCGATATCTCACGAAAGTGAGATTGAATCTGCTCCAGATTTTGTATGTGCATTCATTATATGTCGAACCAGAAGCCTATTGATTTTGGATGAATTATGTCGTATCATTAGCGAGTTATTAATTATTTAGTGATGAGACACAAGGTGTCACTATGGAGTAAGAGCGCTGTTTTGGGGATCCCCTAACTTTCGATCGATAAGTCTTCGGACTCTGACCGATGTTCTCGTTTTAGAATTTGCAAGGTTCCAACAGTCTCGTCTTATAATTTATATCCATAACATAGCATTTATGATTTGAACATTATTCAAAATGTTCATAATGTTAATTGACTTGAACTTTGAATCCATCAGTCCTACTTAGGTCCACTTATTATTTCCCAAAAAATCTTTTTCTAGGCCGCAACAAAAGCTCTCAACACTCTGAACAAAACCAATCTATCAGAACTGAAGTCATTTGGCCAACCTGTCCAAGCCATCACCAATATCACCGCTGCTGTGATGTGTCTCTTTGCTCCTGATGGAAGATTACCGAAGGATCGTAGCTGGAAAGTTTCTAAATTGTTTATGGGAAAGGTACAGCATTTAACCATCTGGAAAATAATACTATGATAATAAAAAACAGACATACATGGTCATAGTGTCAAAGGTTATTTAAAAGTGTTTCCATATATTCAAATAAAACAGAATATTTGGTGAAATATTGGGCCTTGTAAGAATAAGAATAAGTTTGAAAACAATATAAGATTAATAGCTTTTTAGCTGCATATTTGTATTCATGATACAATACTATATGATATAGCATTTATCATTTCATTTCCCTATCAGAATTTTAAGTAAATATCCTTGTTCATCTTTACAAAATCAAATATATTTTCTTATACTTAGGTTGAACAATTTCTTGACCAATTGATCAATTATGATAAAGAGAACATCCCAGAACCTAGTCTCAAAGCGGTCAGACAATACATGGAAGATCCAGAATTCAATGAAGACACTGCTCGCACAAAATCAGTTGCTGCAGCTGGACTTTGCGCTTGGGTTATCAACATTGTGAGATGGTGAGATCTGGTTTAATAAGGAATCTGTTATAAACTGGCAGATGGTGCTGGTCGCCATCACACTTCTGACCATTTGGATTGGTGGAAGGCTGTTGTTTGTACAATAATTAATTCATCGTTATAGAGCAGGGGTTCCCAAACCAGGGGTTGCGACCCCAAATTGGGTCAGAGTGATAAATAGGTAGGGTCGCAACCAGGTCATGGGGTCGGTGGGGTCGCTAGGGTATGGTAGAGGATGGATGTACAACTCATCTAAGATTTGACAAACCATGTTAAATTTAGCAGTTTGTACCATGGCTTAATGTAAAACAGGCACATAGGCATCACTCTATGCTTTTGTTATTGAAAATGTAGGTGTTTATTGTGACATCACTGTTCGGTTTTAGCTTATTTTACTTAATACCACCACATGACTAAACTCAAAAGTTCAGTGAAAGAAGCTCTAAAGTTTCATGAAAAATATATATATTGATCTGGGGTCGCACTGGACACTTGCTGTCTTTGAGGTCGTCCTGAAAAAAGCTTGGGAACCCCTGTTATAAAGTAATATAGAGGGGGGGGCACTCTGTAAACATCTGAATTAACAGGCTTTATGGTGTTACACTTTAAATATATTCAGGTATGATGTATATTGTGACGTACAACCAAAAAGAGATGCATTAGCAGAGGCGAATGAAGAGCTGGCAGCAGCTCAGAAGAAACTGGATGACATCAGAACTAAAATTTCTCAATTGGATGAAGATTTGTCACGGTTGACTGCAGAATTTGAAAATGCGACAGAAGAAAAACTGAAATGTGCAAATGAAGTTGCAACAACTGAAAAGACGATTGTTCTGGCAAACAGGTTAGAAGTTTCATGAATAAAAGTATCCTGGAATTCGGAACTTTTATCAGGGAGATTTTCACGTTATTTCGGCCATTATAAGAGTAGGATTTTACTGTTAGTCAAAAATATTCAGATTAGAAATATTCAACATAGCCCAAATTGCGGCATTGCGTCAAGCACTAAGAACACCTGTATCGACAAATCTTGTTAGATTTGCCCATGTACAAAATTATTACTGGACACCTTCTCTCACTTGCCATTGCAAGGTATTCCATGTCAGTCACGAAGCCATGATTGATTCATCACATCTGCCTTTTCTCTCCCAAAATCATATCTCGTGCCAAAACCAAATTCAATCACAATCTCAACAAATTCTTTGAGCTATTTTTAGCCAAAGCATCTAAATTTGGTTTTAGTTTGGTTGTGGCAGCATCAGGCGGGTCAGATTGAATTACCAAATGGGTCGGATTTGGCCCCCAGGCCTTAGTTTGCCCATGTCAGTTTTAAACCTTCAGCCTAATGATTCAACCAAACTTTTCAATCCAGACTTGTAAGCGGCTTACAGAGTGAAAAGGGAAGATGGTCAAGCTCTGTGAAATCATTTGAAAAGAAAAAACAAACCTTGAGTGGAGATGTTCTACTGACTGCTGCATTTGTCTCTTATCATGGTGAGATATCATGATATTTTTATTGGGTGTTTTTAACCTTTATCCAAACATGGCTCTTGACAAATATACACTGAAATGTAGGGAGTTAATGAGAGGACTGTGATCTTTGTGGTTCGAATAGCCCAACCGATTTTTAAACTTGTTTTGCCAGAGTTATATTATTAGTGAAGTAGTTGTATTCTTGACTTCTATTTGTTTCTGCAAGTTGTGGAAATTGTTTTTAGGTGTTTTAATGTCTTCATGTCAAAAATGGCTCTGTTTAAGCAACTGACATATAGAGGGCTAGTATTTTTAGAAGTTTCAAAATATATTTCGGTGTAAATTATGTGTCAAATTCGTGACCCTATGTAAGTTAGGTTATCGAAGTAATACCAACAATAATGATAATAATAATGCAAAACTTCTCAGGTTACTTCACACAGTCTTACAGAACACATATGTTAGAACAAGAATGGCTTCCGTTCCTCAAGAAACAAAAATTCCAGATTCCAATCACTGAAAGTGAGTTATACTTTGTTTTAGGCATAAAAACTTATATTTTTAGTACAATGCTTGTAGAGAGATGGGCATGGCATTTAGAACTTCAATCTTTAACCTCTGACCCTATTGACTTGAGCTATGATAACAGCCTTCCACGGCTTTGAAAATTCAATCCAAAATTTTCCTTGCAGATCTTGACCCTCTTGACCTTTTGATTGATGATGCAACAATAGCACGTTGGAACAATGAAAAACTTCCTGCTGATAGAATGAGTACCGAGAATGCTGCTATTGTCAGTAACTGTCAAAGATGGCCGCTACTAGTTGATCCTCAATTACAAGTATGTTAAAGTCTGTTGTGTTCCCAAGCCTTTCTATGTTTGCAAGAAATACACATGTATAAACGTTTTAGCGACTTCCTTTGACCAACTCAAACTGTGACTGGTCGGAAACTTTGTCCAAGGTTAAGCAAATCACATGAGTAGTCATGGGATTTATGATGTAATAAATACACCACAAAATTTACTTACGGTAAGATGAATATCTCACAAAGAATATTGCCCCTGGGCAAAATTTAACCATAACCTGGATTAGGAGACGTTTTTATCTGTTACCCCACTGTTACTGTTTATTGTTACCCTAATGTCCTATTTTTATACATATATTGGAGCTTTTTGACTTTATTTTTGGCGCTCCAGAAGTGTGTGTACCAATATAGAGGTAACCAATTTTGTTCGCTTACTTTACATCAAGTTGTGTAGAGTGACTGAAACCTATGGGCATGGGGGATATTTACTTGGCTAACACAGATAATACCCAAACTCGTAATAAAACTAGTATAGGGAAAATGGGGATAAAATTATGGTCTAACCCTAACCTGGTACACACACTACGGGAGCACCCAATTTTTTGGGAACATACTTACATTCATAACTTCAGTAGATTGATGGGAACACAGATGTTATGAAAAATAATAATCTCGACGTATATATCCTAGGGAGTGAAATGGTTGAAAGAACATCTCGGATCCGATTTACTTGTTGTCCAACTTGGACAGAAAGGATATTTGGACGTGATTGAGAAGACATTACAGGAAGGTAAGAGTGCTCTTATCTGTTTTTTTTTTTCAGTATCAGATCGGATAGAATGTTCATCTTTATCTCTTTATCTCATGAGAATGCTCCCATACAATTATATGTTATCTGTCTCCGAAATTGGTAAGTTGGGATATTACATCATATTTAGAAACTATCAAATTTTATTTGTGATATTTAAAAGGATACGTTAATGATGGAGACATATGATAAAAATATTCAACCAACTCCTTTCTGGAACTAACTCATAGGGATGGGATTTACATATTTATCCCAGGGGAGAGTGGTGAACCACGTCTTTCCGGCATGTCACCGGTCCACGCCGGGTATGGAGTTATTAGCCAGTTATTCCTCTTGCACATAACTTTTCCCGTTTGGAATCTGAACCTGTGAATTCACACATGGTAATCAGATGTACAGTGGCAAGTATATTCCTCATGTAAAGCATGATGCGCCACACCACCAAGCTGTAATTTCTAATACTGTCACAGGTGGGAATATTTTGATTGAAAACATTGGTGAAACAATTGATCCTGTCCTTGACTCATTACTTGGAAGAAACACAATAAAGAAAGGAAAATACATCAGGATTGGAGATAAAGAATGCGAATTCAACCCAAAATTCAGGTAAATTTTTCTACAGTGATTTGTGAGTGTATACCAAGGGTGGGCAATCACTTTTTTATGGGGGCCAGTTACAGAGGCCTGAGGCTTGAAACTTAATATGAAAAACTATGAATCAACTATGCTAACGTTTATATAATAATGAGAACCACAATGTAACAATCGAGGTCATTGTAACACTATTTTCATCGATATTTTCATTGCAAATTTATATCCATAAAAACTGTAGTCATTATTCCAGCAAACACAAGTGGGCCTGATAAAAAAACTTTCGTGGGTCGCATCCGGCTTGAAGGTGCTAATTTGCCCACTTCTGGTGTAAACAACACTTACCTACAGTGTAGTAACTACAAAAATATTTGCTGAAATATGTGAATACACTTGCTTATTTTAAATCCGGGATCAAAATCTTGAATTTTGGATCAGCATAAAATCTGTTGATGAACAAATGATAAAAGCAGAGTAAGAGCATGACTAGGGTCATTAGTAAAAATAATGACTCTGCAATTTTACAAATTTTATTACAGTATTATAGTATTTTGAACAGAGCTATGTACAGGTAGCTCCTGCCAATTACAGCAATTGTATTTAGGCAAAATTATATAAAGCAAAGGTGGAGTACTGATAAAATTACTTGATCATATAGCGGATGTCAAAAAATGCCTGTTTATTTACCCAAATCTAACTATTATTAAGTCCGAACACTCTGAGATACTTTCTTTTTATTCACATACAGACTATATCTGCACACAAGGTTGGCAAATCACTGAGTCTTGTCAGCTTATCAGTCCAATATTAAAATTATAGTCAAAATAAACACTCGATATATTTCTTTCTATTTGCATACAGACTTGTCTGCACACAAAGTTGGCAAATCACTGAGGCTTGTCGACTTATCAATCCAATATTACCTGATTGTAGTCAAAATAAACACTAGACATATTTTATTTTCATTTGCATACAGACTATATCTGCACACAAAGTTGGCAAATCACTGAGTCTTGTCAGCTTATCAGTCCAATATTAAAATTATGGTCAAAATAAACACTCGATATATTTCTTTCTATTTGCATACAGACTATATCTGCACACAAAGTTGGCAAATCACTGAGTCTTGTCAGCTTATCAGTCCAATACTAAAATTATAGTCAAAATAAACACTTGATATATATTTTTTTCATTCACATACAGACTATACCTGCACACCAAGTTGGCGAATCCACATTACCAGCCTGAACTTCAAGCTCAAACAACTTTGATTAATTTTACTGTGACTCGAGATGGCCTTAGTGATCAATTACTTGCTCAGGTTGTGAGAGCAGAACGGCCAGATTTAGAAGCTCTCAAGGTAGGTGGCAAAAATGATTGTTGCTGGTTTGGTACTCCCTTAGTGAGCGTACCAGGTTAGGGTTAGGCCTTAATTTTGTTCCAATTTTCCTTATTTTAGTTCTATTACGAGTTCAGAGACTGTCTGTGTTAGCCAAGTGAATATACCCCTGTCCATAGATTTCAGTCCCTTTACACAACTTGATGTAAAATAGGCGAACAAAATTAGTTAACTCCATATTGGTACACACACTTCTGGAGCGCCGCTGAGTGAGTAGGTTACAGTGTCTTGCTAACTTTTTGAAATAACACGATATAGTAATTAGGGGGGTCTTGAAAAACTGTGTGGGGTGTCTTAAAAATGCTTTTGACTCACTAAATCAACAAGTCAAGTACAATGTGTCTACAAGTCTTAATTTTTTTTAAAATTACAAAGGGAATTTATCAATATCATATATTGTTTTGGCCCTCACAGATGTATTAAATGAAATAGAAATACTTGAACAATTACTGATTTAAAAACAACAAACCTGGTTAAGATATATTGAGAACTGACTTCATAACAAAATTGAAATTGTGAAGGGACTTTATGGGCACCCTGTATTTCCAACCAGTAAAACTCAATTGTACACAAAATATGAGAACTATTTGAACATGTGGTATAACTGAGAAAAAAAGTTGCTGGGGATCAAAGGTTGTTATAAAGCAGCTCACACTCAATGTTTTTCTATCTAACTAAAATTTAAAATAATTGCATTTTAGTTTTGAAGTACAAAATGGTCAAATGTTGGTTAAATAATTTTTTAAGTCAGAATAGAATTATCATATTTATCCTGAGGGAGTGGAAAACTGATACTCCAACATGATTATATGGCAAACTCCGTCTGCGTCCATATCTGGTATAAGAAAAATGAGTCAGCTATTTGTCAGTCGTAACTGATTAGTGTTTATGTGAACCACCCCTTGACAGTGGCAAGTATATTATAGCAATACTCCTTCTCAAAATTATCCTCAATCCATGCAGGGTTATCAGGGGTGCGATGGCAATTGTCCATGTCCTGCAAAACTGTTAATTGCTTGATCACTGGACTCCTCGCCGCCATAGGGTGGTTCACGTAACTGCTGGTCGGTTACAGCTTTCTCCAGCATCAAGTCCATGCATCCGAAAACAAATAACTGACTAACTAATCCCATACCCGATATGGACTAGTACCATAACCGGAAAGAGGACTTGGTCTGTCATATTATTAAGCTGTTTTATCGGCTTCCACCTCCAACGGGATGAATATGTAAATCTTATTCTATCCTGTTAATGCTTGGATTCTATTTTCAGGTTGAGTTGACAAAGCAACAAAATGATTTCAAAATTACTTTGAAACAATTAGAAGACAATTTATTGACCAGACTTTCGAATGCAGGAGGAAATTTCCTGGGTGATATTGAACTTGTGGAAAATCTAGAAAGAACAAAGAGAACTTCGGAGGAAATCGAGGTAAATTTCAAAACTAAATATTTTTATAGTTGTTTTGACGCGATAAATACCAGTAGTTGTTTGTGTCCTGTTTTCATAGGTATTAAAATAAATTTGCAATCTTTGTTTTGACCTGATTGGTGGGCATACCATTGAATTCTTTGTGTACTTGAAATAGAGTTGATATAATTAATTGATTAAATGCTGCTATGTAACTTTAATTGTAACACAGTGTTGACAAGATGTTTAGGGTTTGCAATCAACAATGATTCAACATTGCAAAGTAATGCCACAAAGCGCTTTTGAAATTTTATACAAACACTCAGGTACTCCCCTAGTGTGTGTACCAGGTTAGGGTCAGGCCATAATTTTATTCGGATTTTTCTTATCTTAGTTCTATTAAGAGTTCGGGGACTGTCTTTGTTAGCCAAGTGAATATACACCCCCTGCCCATGGGTTTTAGTCTGTTTACACAACTTCATGTAAAGTAGGCGAACAAAATTGGTTATCTCCATATTGGTACACACACTTCTGGAGCGCCAACACTTAACCATAATCTAATAATCAAAAGGCTAAAAGAAGGCTTGAGAATTTGCGTCCACATTGTTTGAACATGGTATAATAATGCTAAAATGCTAGTATTTTTAAAACTTTGTTCAAAATTTTTAACAATAATCACTATTCTGCAGGCAAAAATGGCTCAAATAAAGCGTTTACAGAATTCTTTCACCGACTTTTTTAAGGTGAAAAAGATCATCATTGTACTCATTCACTCATCTGATTTCTTCGGCTATTGGTCACCATTCATGTCTTAATATTCATTTCACTAAGATGAGCAATGTAGCGTATAAGCATGAATTATTTATTTGAGATGTATGGACCTGAGAGTGGAGAAAACCATGAGCGACCAGTGTTTCGTTAATTGCTATCTGCTCAGAATAGAAACTCGTATACAACTGAACTCCATTAATGAGAACAGCGGCACAACTTAAACAATACAACAAAACTGCAATCATAAACAAACGTCCACAAGTTAACACAACTATATATCGACTGGTGAGCCAGACGAATAAATGAGATGCATTGCGCCGCAACAATTAAGAGTTGTCGCGCTACTCATCATTTGAGTAATCACATTACGTCGAGAGAAAACGAGTAGAGAAAACCATAAGCGACCAGCAGCCACCTGAACCACCATATTTTTTACAAAAAAAGTTCTGTTCGTTTTTTTCCATTCAGCACTGCACATGAAATATTGGAATCCATTTTTACATCCATTTTAGTGTGCAATAATTAGTAGCACGCTTGTCAGGCTTTAGCTTTTAAGCTATTGTATTGTTTTTGCTATTCCTACACTTGCCTTCATTTCAAATTTCACAGCTTGCCTATATTAGTATTTAGGTGTGAATAATCATTTGCTTAATAATTAATTATAATTATTGGGGTCGTCGGGCAGTGGGGGGCATGACACCATTTTTTGTCTATAATTTTTTAATTTAATATATTCTTCATATATATCCCAGGTAGAGGTAAGATCTGAAGGCCGAGCTCGAGCCTAAAATGTCAATCATTACATTCGGGTCGGGTTTCTCTATCGCTGACTTTTTTTTAAAATAAATATATGTTTATAAAAAATATATACTAAACTAAGAAATACTTATTATAAAAAAAATAATTTAAATAAGACAGAGAAGAAGCTGTTATGGACCTTTCCCCGACCTTCGACCCATGAAAATATTCTTCCTATTCTTTACCATTGCAAAATTTTCGGGACTTATTTTAAGAATGGTTTCACATAAAATATCCAGCAAATCCAGTTAATTAGTTGTGCTCGGGTCAGGTCGGGTTTAATACACACGGGCCCGGTCGGCCTGGAATTTTTGGGTCTGATCTCACCTCTAATCCCGGGAAAGAAAAGTGAATGAGACGCCTAAATCATATGACGTTTATGTTCATTATGGAAATAGTTAACCAAGTATCTGCTTCCAATGCATGAACTTGATTGTGGATGAAGCCGCAACCAACCAGCTGTTACATGAATCATTCTACTGCAGTGAGCAGTCATCTTGCTTATAATTATAACTTTTATAAATTAAAAAAAATGCAAATCCCTTTCTATTCATTATACTAGTCACTGAATAATTATATATTCTCAAATTTTTAGATCAAAGTTGTTGAAGCAAAACAGAATGAGGGTTCCATCAACGGAGCTAGAGAGTCATATCGAGACGTCGCATCCCGCGCTGCACTGCTGTACTTCATTATGAACGATCTTCATAAAATCAATCCCATCTACCAATTCTCGCTGCGGGTGAGTTTTATCTTCTTTGAGTTTGCTTTTGTTAGGAGTGTTCAGCCTCCTTGTCTTGTGACTTGTTCAAGTAGTACATGGCAACCAAAAAAACAGGATCCAGGTCATTTGAAACAATTTCTAGGAAGAAAATTACTTTTGTGCTAGCGTCTTAGATCACTGGAACTTTTGGGTCATATCATACCCAAACAGAAGTTCTGGTAAATATTTTTTATTTATTTAAATAATCAAGAGTAAATTTATGGGCACTCTTTTAAAATCTATCCCATCTACCAGTTCTCACTGAGGGTGAGTATTATCTTCTTTAAGTTCGCTTTGGTCAGACCGATCATTTAAGCCTAATCGTAATAACTTTAAGCTACTACTACTACTTTGTCTACTGCCTTGTTTGAAAAAAATTTCGAATACAGTAGTAGTTTATTAAGTAATAGTAATTGAATTAATTCTAAATTATATATTTATCTGGTTAAAAGACACTGAATATATTATTTCTTATTGCTGAATATGAACTTAATACCAAAATTTGGTACTCCCGTGATATGTGTACCAGGTTCGGGTTAGGCCATAATTTTATTCCTATTTTCTTTATTTTAGTTCTATTACGAGTTCGAGGACTCTGTGTTAGCCAAGTGAATATACCCCCTGCCTATAGGTTGCAGTCTCTTTACACAACTTGATGTAAAGTAGGCGAACAAAATTAGTTACAAATTGGTACACATTCTTCTGGAGCGCCCCAAATCCTGTACGAGCCACAACACAACCTTTTCCAATCTCCTGGGATTAATTTAAAATCTTAAAATTCTATTCTGCACAGGCATTCAACAACGTTTTCCATCGCTCGATTGCAACAGCAGAACAGAATGAAGAAACTAAGGAAAGAGTTGACAATCTAATCGACAGTGTCACTTACAACACGTTCATGTACACAAGTCGAGGGTTATTTGAAAATGACAAACTGACTTTTACAGCTCAGGTAAAAATTTTCTTTAAAGTAATTATCAGTGGATGTCTTTACTAGTCCTTGTTCAGATTGAAAGGTGTGATTGAGCATTTCCTATAAAAAGATTTAGCAGTGCTTCTTAATAGGTAACCTACAGACCACTTGGCTGGTCGCAACGCAGAGGCATAACAGATATGAATTTGTCACACAGAGCAACTGATATTTGTCACTGTTGTCGTTGGCAATGAATAATTTTGTTATTTCTGTATCGTGGTACCAGTGTTGGGTCGAAGTTCCTAAATTCTGAGTTGAGTTATATGTCATCCAGGTCTTGAGCTGAGTTTGTGTTGATTCAATCACTGAGTTGGGGTCTCACTGGCGGCTATTTGTTAGTGAGTCTGAGTCATTATCTTTAAACAACTTAAGTCACTTTGTTTGAGTGAATAATTTTGACATTTCTGAATACTGCTATTAGTGTTGGGTGAAAGTCTCTAAATCCAGAGTTGGTTGAGTCAAATGTCGTCTTTAGCTGAGTTAGAGTTAATTTAATCACTGAGTTAGGGTCTCACTGGCGGTTATTGATGTTGCGAGTCATTCTATTCAGATGATGAGTAGCTTTGAGTAATGAATGATGACCCTACAGTCCACTATCTGTGGTCATGTCTGTATACTAATAGCAGTGTTGGATAAAAGTCTCTAAGTCTCGAGTCGCTACTCAAGTAGGGTCACAGGTCATCTGAGTGTTGAGTTCGAAGTCGAGTAAACCACTGAGTTAAGTTTCATTTAGACAACTTGGGTCACTTCAAGTCATGTTTGTATACCAACAGCAGTGTTGGATAGAAATATCTAAATTCAGAGTACCTGACCAAGGCAGGGCGTTGCAGGTTATCTGAATGTTAATTTAAAAAAAATTCTAACATGGCAAACATATAATAAATAAACAAACAATTTTGATTCAAAGTCAAGTAAACCACTGAGTTAAGTTTCATTTTCAGTTACTTAAAGACAAGTCTGATTGGTCCCTAAAGACAGCTTGAATCACTTTTAGTCCTCCATGAATTATGACTGGAGTCCACTCAAGTCGAATGGTAACTCGAATCTCTTCATCATCTTACCTTATCGCTTACATTATTTTTTCTATCTTCAAGTTCGGACCCATTACTTGCTTAATATGACCCAAACATAAATGATGACTATTCTCCATTTTCAGGTTTCATTCCAAGTTCTTCAAATGAGGGGACAACTGAATCCAAGTCATCTTGATATTTTGCTGAAGTTTCCTCCAAATCAACCAATGCCAAGTCCACTGGATTTTATCTCTAATCAAGTAATTAAGTTTATATAAAATGGATAAGCAATAATAAAAAACATAACAAAAATAAAACTCTACGAGGCTTTTCATGGGAATTGATTTTAATCTTGAATTGATGACCAATGACCAGATTGGTATATTTCATAAAACGATTGGTATGAACTTGCCAAAGCACTGTTAATTAGCATTTACATGGAACACTGGCTCAAATCTGATATATGGTGATAAGGTCTTGAAAAATTCTGGAATACTCAATATCACAGGGTGATACACATAAACGCTAGTCAGCTTCCTTCATTAAAATTCTGGAATACTCAATATCACAGGGTGATACACATAAACACTAGTCAGCTTCCTTCATTAACCACATCTAGATATTAAAACTACTTGAAAAGTTGGTATAAAAAGCATTATAAATGCAGTTAAAACAAAAATAATCTGTTTTCAAATATTTCTAGAAACTCATAACACTCACACTTTAAGACTAAAAGGGTCTTTATCAAGATAGTTTGCTTTGATAATGTTTCTTCACACCTTTGAACAAGGTTCTATACAGTGAACCACTGACACTTCAAGAGCTATTATTTTTGGAAGAACTCATATTTTTTTCAGTTTGGCATCCATACCCACTTTATTACACAGTTGATGAGGTGGTTTGGGCTTGATATTCTTTCTATTATGAAATCATAGTCAGTTCCAGGCTCCCAATGCTCTAACTAAGGGCCATTGTACTCCCTCTAAAAAGGTGGGCTTGGGGTACTGAGCCGAGACCTTTAAACCACAATGACAGCGTAACTTGGCACATTGCTGAATAAAAATGTATGAGTTATATACAAGCATCTGGTCACTTCAAAAACTGTGTTTTATTTATCCATGTTTACCCTTATACATCATACACTCATACTCTATTATAATTCACAGACATGGGGCATTATCAAAGCTTTGGCACTGCTCGATGAATTCTCTGGATTGGACAGAGATATAGAAGGATCTCCAAAGCGTTGGAAAAAACTTGTCGACAGTGAAGCCCCAGAGAAAGAAAAACTTCCTCAAGACTGGAAAACGCAACCTCCTGTTATCAGAATGTGCATACTCAGAACTTTAAGACCAGACAGAATGACCTATGCATTGAGGTATGACAATAATTTTGTGCATTTCTCCAAGACCATATTCTGATTAACTTAAATGAAGAAAGCCATGAAAATACTATTTGACAATATTTGGATCCTATATCGATTTTAAGTAAGGAAGCTTTCACTCTTTCATGTTTATCTTTTATATTATCAACATGTTCCATATGTACCTTGATTTGAGTTTTATTACTTTGGGTTTAGATTTTTTTTTGCTATAGTTTATGAAAATAGCATCCTTGATTATTGTCTATTGAGTGGTCTCACGAAACGCTTTTTGTTAGCTGAAATAAATTGGACCTGAAACCCATGCGAACAAAGGCGATGCAAAATTTGACAAAGATTATCAAGTTGTTCAAAAATCTTGCTTGTAAAGAATTATAATTAATAGTTTTATCTGAGGCGTTTCCGTGTTCGAGTGATGGGTCTCTTAGTCGAGGCAACAACTATTATTTGTTTCAATAACAACGGTTTAGGAAAATTCATAAATTTTACTATTTCTGATTTCAGAGATTTCACTGAGCAGATGTTGGGATCCAAATACATTGAGAATCGACCAATTGAGCTCTCAAAAACATTTGAAGAAAGTTCGAGAGCAGAACCAATATTCTTTGTTCTATCTCCTGGGGTTGATCCTTTGAAGGATGTGGAAGCACTTGGTAAGATTGGATTGACATGACTTTACTACTTTTATATCATGCTTATTTGTGCCTTTTCTTTGGACATGGCCTTACAAAAGCACCCACTGATACTTAATGATATTGTGGCGCGGCGGTGTGGCTCATCGTGCTAAGCGTTAGGAATACGCTCGCCACCACACCTATGATTACTCTGCGTGGGTTCGCGGGTTCGAATCCCATACAGGGATGATTTTGTGCGAGAGGATTGCTGGACTCCTCGCGCCGTAGGGTTGTTCACGTAACCGCTGGTCGGTTAAGGCTTTCTCCACCATCAAAGTCATGCTTCCGAAAACGACGAACTAATCCCATACCCTGCATTGAATGGTAACCGGACGAGAGGCTGTGGTTCGCCATATGGTTGGGCTGTCTTTTTGGCTTTTCTCTCTGCCGGGATAAATATGTAAATCCTATCCTATCCTAAAATTGGTGTATGCAACTCTTCTTCAATGGGCTGTTAGGAATTGTTTAGTCAACTTAATTTTTGAAGTTTTTGACATTGATTATCACAATGGAAAGTCTGAAATTGCTACCCTGACTTGAATATAAACATCTCCATTTCCGACTCTGAATTCCCTTTCTGAATTAGCTTTCTGTCAAAGTATTATATTCATCCCAACCCAGGACATAGCATGAATCTAAATATATATGCTTACATTAATCTTGTGCTCCGCAATATATATACTTAGTCAGAACTGTGGGAGAAGTGGAACAAGCGTGGACAAGTTTGCTAAAAAGGAGACAAGTTCGGGACAACTGAGACTTTCTTGAAACACCATATTTGTCAACAATTTCAATCTCAAATTTAATTGTTTTCTTCAATTTTTATGACATTTCATGTATTCTAGGAAAGAAACTTGGATATCACTCTGACCATGGCAACTTCCACAACATTTCTCTTGGGCAAGGTCAAGAAGTTGTTGCAGAACAGGCACTGGAGGTCGCTGCAGAGAAAGGACACTGGGTGGTGTTACAGAATGTTCATTTGGTCGGTGAGTTCTTTTCACAATAGGGAATTCATATTTGTACCAGGAAGAAGAAAGTTATATGGCTCTATCATATAAATATCCACAATCTTGTGTCTGGTTATCATTGGCTTAGGTAAGCGAATAGTTAACCCGTTCATTGTACTAGATGCAAAGACTTGATGGCGTAACTGCTGAACTACAATGAATGACCAGAAACCCAGCAATCTTCTCACACATACTTATTCCTTGTGGAATCAAACCTACAAACATACAGAAGATATTCAGCAGTATATTGGCAATTGTGTTTTGATGCGCTAACTGTTGAGCCGTAGTGCTTTCTCAACATCATATTGAACCATGCTGTAAAAAACTGCCATATTTAAAATTACCGGATTATTTTCTTCGTGAATGTGAGCCCAGTGTGCTACAACATTGATATTCTCATAGCTTCAATACGAATGTGTGTAAGGATTCAAAAATGAGAAAAATGTGCTTCTGGTATACAGTTTTAACGTTGAATGATAATATCGTAAACCATTCTTGCTTCATTAATACTTGATGAAAAACAATATTTTAGGTATTCTAAACATTTGAACATATTTTCAAAATTTAACGTGAGAAAAATAACAGATTGATATCTGTGCAATGTTATGGACATTCGCTAAAGTGTTAAGTATAGTTTTAGTAATAGTGTTACTTTCGATATATTTCAGCAAAATGGCTGCCAAGGCTTGAAGATATAGTTGAACAAAATGCTACAAATGCTCACAAAGATTATAGATTGTTCATCAGTGCGGAACCGCCAGCATCAGCAGACGTACATGTTATTCCGCAAGGAATTCTGGAAAACTCTGTCAAAGTTACAAATGAACCTCCAACTGGTATGCATGCTAATTTACATGCAGCCCTGGATAATTTCAACCAAGTAAGTTTTTATTTTCAAAATTACCTTTGTTTTGAGCAGAGCAAAACTGATGAGACAACTTAATCACATACCGGATTTTGATCTCAATTCTGGTTACCATGTTATGAGATTACAAACTTGATTATGAAAAGTACAAGTTGTCCAATGAAAGCCATAACTGACTCATACTATATATGGTGGAGGAATCCAGAATCGAATCTGCAATGATGAGGAATCTATCATTCTTCTGATACACCTCTTAACAGAAAAATTATATAATTGATTATTAAAAATGGATGCAATTTTTTCAACAGGATACATTGGAAATGTGCGCAAGGGAATCAGAATTCAAATCTATTCTCTTCTCTTTGTGTTATTTTCATGCTGCTGTGGCTGAAAGAAGAAAGTTTGGACCTCAAGGTTGGAACAGAAGATATCCTTTCAATACAGGAGATCTGACAATCTCTGTCAATGTGTTGTACAACTACCTGGAAGCAAATGTGAAGGTGAAATTGAATTTGTGATCAGGAGTACACAATTAGGATTGGGTTTACATGTTTATCCTGGTAGCGAGTAAATTCGCTATGACGTCTCAATTATATGGCAAACCACGGCCTCGCATCCAGTTACCAGTCCATGAGGAGTATGGGCTTAGTTAGGCAGGTATTTGTTTTAGAAGCATGGACTTCACGTAACAGTAATTATAAATTGTCAACCAACTATCAGGGGCGCTTAAACTTTGCCATAGGCGCCATTTTACATAGATATGCCACTAGGTATGCCACTATATATGCCACTTGATATGCCACTAGATATGCCACTTCTTCTCATTTAACTTAAAATACCTTGCTTCTAATTTTTCTAACCCTTTGTCACCATGATATTCTTATTTAACATTTGTATCAGGTACCATGGACAGATCTGCGATATCTATTTGGAGAGATTATGTATGGTGGACACATTACAGATGACTGGGACAGGCGGCTGTGCAGAACTTATCTTGAAGTTTATATGGAACCTAAACAGGTGAATGACAATCATTTTAATACCATAGTGGGTTATTGCTAAGAGGTTTATTCATAGTTACTTGTACAGCTATTGGCCTATTATACTGGCATAAGTTTTGAAATTCAGTTTTACCATAGCTTCGAGCCACGCATAATCCAACTTTCAATGTCCTACTAAACCCTAGTTGCAACACAACGACCACATTTCCATGGTCACTTAGCCTGTGATGCTTTGAGTCAACTTCTTTTGTCGAAACGGCGACTGCTTGTTACGTACCAGGTTGCCTTGATGTACTTATTTTTTATATCAGATAACATATTTAGTTTCTTTTCATTCTATTCATCATGTTATGTTCGACTTTCCCAAGGGTGCCATCGCTCAGTAACCAGTATTAGTTTTTGACGTCTCCTTTCACCCTGAAATGCCATTTTTTGTATATTTCTTTTAATTTGTGTATGTCTAGGGTGTATTTCAAGCATGGTGAAGAAATGATTACTGATAGCAAAAATGTGCCACAGATCTGCTTTTTGTCTAAACAAGTCCTAGTCACTCAAAATATTATTGCATAATATAAAAGCCCACAAAGTCCCTTCTTATTGGAATTCTCATCTCTCGCGCTAAATAGCATGCAATGTGTTTGCATGTACTTCTGAAGCGCCAAATACGGCACTGCACAGGATTTATCGGCTGCATTCAGAGCATAACGCCTATTTAATATCTAAAGTTTTAGGTTTCTTTTTCGGTGTTGCTGCTCGATAACCAGTTTTGGTTTCCTGCGACTTCCATTCCCCGGTAAAATTGTGCGTTGAATTTTATTTTATATTTTTTTTAGAATTTGTATGTTATTTTTTTTACTGGATGGAAAAAATAAACTTGACTATGACTTTATTTCCAGCTTGATGGTGAACTCATGTATGCACCAGGATTCTTTTCCCCACCGAACCTCGACTACAAAGGATACCATGCATACATTGATGAATTACTTCCTCCTGAAAGTCCGACATTGTACGGCCTTCACCCAAATGCTGAGGTTGGAATCTTAACAGTGACCTCGGATGAACTATTCCGAACTGTTCTTGAAATGCAGCCCAGAGAAGGCAGTGGAGGATCAGAAGGAATCACCTCAATTGATGAAAATGTAAGTTTCCAAGTTGTGTGAATTTTCACATAATTGAGAAAACCTAGTCTTTTCCATATTTTTTTTCATTTGGAACAACTAACAACTAGGAATGAACTTACGAGACTGGTAAAACTACCGGTTTATATATTATTTGAACATTACTTTGTATTTGACTTTTACCTCACCACAATGTAATTATGCTCGGCACAAAATTATTGAATATTGTGTCCCCAAACAGAATCACCTCAATTGAAGAAAATGTAAGTTCCAAGTTATATTTTTGCATATTTTAAAATATTTCACTCTTCTCATATAATAGATCTCTCACTATTTTCCAAGGTTTCATTTATTCGTTTTTTCAACTTCAATACGTCAACTAGGTTATACTGATATTTCTGATGCAACAAGAAATGTCTATATAGCTTCTAGTGTAGTGGTTCCAACTTTTTATGTGACCCCTTTCCAAAAGCTTTTAGCACTCATGGCCCTGTTTTATCATTCCAGTAGTATTTACAATGCTATTTTTATTGATAGATAACAAATTTCATTATGTTTAAACAATTCATCCTCAACAAAGTAAAAACACCTTGTCAAATAACCCTATTAAGCAATAAAACTAGGAAGAACGGGAAGTTTTCATGTCAAGTGAAAAGTAGCAGTTTTTCCCCAAGCAAGCAAGGGGCCCCCCTCCAACTGCTCTGCGGTGCCCTGTTAGGGAGGGCAAGGGTCCCCGGTTGGGAACCGCTCTCCTAATACGACAATGATTGCATGCAACTTTTCTATTGGTATCTCTGCCACTTTTTTTGCAGACTTTGCTTCGAACAAAATTGTATAAAAAAAATTAAATCCATTGTTTCTTATTTTCAGGTTAAAACCACTCTGGATGAAATACTGGAAAGACTTCCTGATCTTTTCCCAATGGCTGAAATCATGGCAAAGACGACAGAACGAAGCCCTTACATTGTTGTCTGTCTTCAAGAATGCGAAAGAATGAACATACTTTTGAGCGAGATCAGGTAAAAAAGAAATTTCAGTAAGTTGCTATTTTGCTCTGAACAAGGATCTAAATGAGCAACAGCTTACATGCATTGGAAGGATAGCATTTTCCTATTTATCCCGGAGGAAGAAAAGTAAACATGGTTCATTTCTTGCCAATGTTGTAAACTGCATGTCTGAGGAAGTCTGACTCTGGTTGGTTGGACGAAACCTTACAGAAATACATTTGTGTTTGTGTGCAGCTGGATTCTTTAATTGGATAGAATGGTTTATTTATATGACATAATACATACATCCTCTAATCCATTTACCAGTTCATGTCGGGTTTGGTAATAGTTATTAGCCTACAATGATGAGGAGTCCAGCAATTCTTTTTTTTCCCAATGGGATTTGAACCAGAAAACCTGCGCAAGGAGGTCAGCGGTTTCTTTATGCGCATTGTACTTTTACTCTGAACGAAGTTTACACAGACTACAGCTTTCAATTATTGATATTGTGAGCTCGAATTATTTTTACCCAAATAACATATACAGTTGGCTAAAGATACATGTTCACATTCGTACCAATCCTTAAAATAGATCATTCAGTCATATTGTTAACAATTCGTGCAATTAGGATAGGACAAGATTTTTATATATCCCAGGTGAGTGCAAAGTTGATAAGACGGCTAACTCTTATTGCAAAAGTGAAAACACAATAGTAGAACCGATGGCCCAAAATTTGTTTTAATTTAAATTTGTCCTAATTTTTCAATTTCCTAATTTATCCAATTTTAATATCTATTCTCAGGCGTTCATTAAAAGAACTTGATCTTGGATTGAAAGGGGAACTTACGTTTTCATCAGGAATGGAAGCCGTGCAAGATGCTTTGTATTATGATGCATTACCACAGTCTTGGACTAAAGTATCTTATCCTTCAACATATTCACTGTCACAGTGGTGAGTGTCGAATCTATATTCTAGTCTAAACTAGCAGTCTAGTGTTGTTTCAGACAAAATTCATTGATTTTACATATTTTGCATAATGTGATGGATCTAACACAGACTCAAATGTCAACTAGGAGTCTTGAAGCAGCACGAACCAAAGAATGCCTTTCAAATCAATACACCATGCTATTAAAAAACGAACAGTATACGGCAGCAGAGTCAAATGCCATGACTGTTTAATGCGTTGCTAGACTTTAAAAGACAACTCACCACACATAACACTACCAAATACTTGTTTATATCAATTTCTTGTAAATTCTATGAAATGCAATTGAAGAACATAATGAGACAACACAGAAAGATGTCCTTTCTTGGTTATTTTATCCTATGTATTTACAACTTGTACAATGTATTTACATCTTAGTTTGAAGCAATATAACTGAATTATTTTAATAAAAAGTCAAATATATATTTTTACTCAGTTTCACAAAGCATCAAGTTTTTTAAGTTTCCTTGATTAATATATGCACAAAGTGTCAATTAAGTAACTTAAAAAATCTATCATTTAACTTACTTATTTTGTTCGCCTATTTTACATCAAGTTGTGTAATAGGACTGAAACCTATGAGCAGGGGTATATTCATTTGGCTAACACAAACAGTTCCCAAACTCGTAATAGAACTAAAATAAGGAAAATCGGAATAAAATTATGGCCTAACCTGGTACACACACTACTGGAGTAACAAATTGAATTGTAAGAAGACTTCCTGTATTCCAAGCTGAAAAACTTGTTCAAAATCTTATTTTTAGGTTTGCTGACTTACTGCTCAGATGTCGCGAATTGGAAACCTGGACCCAAGACCTGACTTTACCAGCAACAGTATGGCTTGGAGGACTTTTCAATCCACAATCTTTCTTAACAGCAATCATGCAGGTATGGGTTTTAAAATTTATTGGTTGATATAAAAATTCTATCCCTCTACTTCTAAAATTATTTTTAAAAATATGTTGAAAACTATTTCATTAGAAAAAGGAGTCTTTGAATGCTCGTAGTCTCAAAAATGTCTGGTATGATTTGTCCCCTTTTACACACACTTGCCCCTTGTAACTCACACTTGTTCCACTGTTTTGAGGAATTCATGTTTATTCAGGGTTGGGATGAATATAATATTTGGACTCTAGGTTTGAAATAAAATTAGATTTAAATGGTTGGGATAAGTGTGACAATGCATTTTTGAGACTTTTTGAATGCTTATACAGGGCTTGGTTCAGAGTGAAAATATAGAATGCATAATTAAATAACCTTCTCGATATTGCAATTAGTTAACAATTTGTTATAGTGATATAGGATTGGATCTACATATTTACCCGAAGAAATGAAAGTCAATTAGATGGCACCTTAAAACTTAATCATATGATTCCGGTTACCAGTCCATGTCGGGTATGGGATTAGCTACCCAGTTATTTGTTTTAGATGCATGGACTCAATGATGGAGGAGGTAACCGACCAGTGGTTACATGAACTAACCTCCAGCGGCGAGCAGTCCAGCAATCCTCTCACACATAATTATCCCCAAAGAATTTGAGCCTGCGAACCCATGCAGCGTAATCAGAGGTGCTGTGGCAAGCGTATTCCTAAGGCTTAGCACAATGCGTCACACCGCTGGGTCTTCATTAAATAATCCCATTTTTCTTTCTGTTACAGAGTATGGCAAGGAAGAATGAATGGCCTCTTGACAAGATGGCAATATCAGTTGATGTCACGAAAAAGCAGAAGGAAGATTTTGGCCACCCACCAAGGGAAGGAGCATACTTGCATGGATTGTTTTTGGAAGGAGCAAGATGGGACATGCAATCAGGTATTTTTGAAGTTTTACTGTTGTCACCTATTTGGTTAAATTTGTTTGATTTCGTTGTGGTGCAGGTATGCATAGAAATTACCTTTGCGGTCTCAAACCAAATGAGAACAATTATCTGTTGTTCAGTTCGTTTTTTGTCTTCTGCTATTTCTGATGTGTTCGATTTCACGCTTAACTGGTAATGATGGCATATTCCAAATGGGACATGAGTTGGCGCTCCCAAAATATGGGCACCAAGATGGCGCACAATCTGAACCCTAACCTGGTACACATACTCAGATGGCGCACAACCTGAACCCTAACCTGGTACACATACTATGTTCAGGTTGTGCGCCATCTTGTTGCACATACTTCGGGCGTACCCATTAGTTTGATATTATCTGCTGCTGAAATCAGCAATTATGGTGTCGCTGACATCATGATTCAAACAGTTTTCCATGGCCCATCGTCAAATGTTGTCAAAAATCGTATGTCTGTTTTTTAATTTACCTATTTTATTCTTCAATTGTATAAAGCAGGGCTACTCAACTAGTGGACCGCGATCCGAATCCGGACCTTTCGGGTATTTGATTCGGACCGCGTATAATTCCTTATTTTGGATCATTAGCCTCACTGTTGAAGTTTCCTTTTATAAAATTACTTTTATAGATTTAAAAATATACATGAAAAGAACTATAACGCCATAACAAACAATCTTGATTAGCTAATAATCATTAGTCGGCCGAGGAATTGGGTGTTTAAGGATGCTGAAATCTAATTTCTGGAAAGTCCGGACCCAAATATTTTTAAAGTTTTGTATGCGGACATTCGGTAAAAATAGTTGGGTGGCCCTGGTATAAAGGACAATAGTGAATAACCGAATAACAAAGTAACAGCTTTTAAAATGTTAAAATTAAAAAAATTAATCTGCTTCGTGTTGGATGTTAATAATAGCCATCCACAAAAGTTGTTTAAAAAAAGCCATGCACCCTATCCAACAACTTTTTTTGTTTCGCTACACAGGAATGCTCGTTGATGCAAAATTGAAAGAACTGACTCCTACAGTTCCAGTTGTGTTTGCGAAAGCAATTCCATTGGATCGCCAGGACACCCGACACTCGTATGAATGCCCAGTTTACAGAACGAGAGAGAGAGGACCAACCTTTGTTTGGACCTTCAACCTGAAAACGAAAGAGCCTGCGTCGAAGTGGATTTTGGCTGGTGTAGCTCTGCTGCTGAACGTTTAGAATTGAATAAGGACTGTAATTTGTAGGTTATATTGATTTTGTCAAATTGTTGGATTTTGACTATTTAATAAATGTGATGCATGAGGGTCTTTGTGGCTGAATGTCCGAACGTACCCCCCTCTCAATAATTCTATATGTGGACGGACAGATGAAATAATTTTTATTAGAGAAGTGACAGATTTTTGCACCCACTGTAAACTATTCGGAACCACTGTTTTAAACATCATCCTGTAGTTCAGTGTTTCCCAAATTTTTCTATGTCGGACCCCCATTCTATGTTGTATCAATTTATGTGCCTAACAAACTAGAAAGTATGTTGTTTCCTTTGATGAAATAAAACTTACGATTCTTAATTGATACATACTAACGTTAAATACTGGCAGGCTGGCGCAATTTAATAAGATTAAGCTCTATTTGTGTATATTTGAGATTCTTTTCATATCGTTACGGACCCCTACGGGTCAGCGAACATCAGTTTGGGAAACCCTGCTTCAGTCGATGTGGTTAATATTGTTTCATATTCAAAGGCGTCAACTTCCTTCCGAAATGCAAATATAATTCTGTGTCATACATAACGGTTCTTCCCAGATTGATTGAATTGTGTTTCAGACACTCAAAGAGTCTTGAAAACCCATTTTACTGGCCTCCTGCTGAACCCGCTAACTTATCCGGCCTAACTTAGCAATTAGAAATTTCAAAACCCCTCGTTGAAATTCATGGCTGCACCCTTGTTCATATCTATGTATTATAAGCACAACCTATTTGCAGTGTTGGGAAGGAGTCCGTATCACTGAGTTAAGTCTCACTGACGGCTGATTCATAGGTCTTCTTTCCATTCTAGTGACTTGAGTAACTTTTAGATTTTGATAAATGAATAAATGGCGAGTCGAGTCTAACATGAGAGTAAATGATTCTCGTCCATTCATCAATGCATAATTGTTCAACGTCTTAATGTTCGTTACATAAACTAAATGTTCATTTTTCCTATTTCCGTAATAAAATTTTTAGTAAAAATAAAAATTTAACTCTCAATCACTGTAAAAACGATTTTAAAATATATTTCCCACCGTTTTCTACCAATTGTTGGAATAATGGTAGTGTTCCCATAAATTATTTTGCACAAATTACAATTTTTGTCGTTTTTGCACTATTGTCAGTAAAGTTATACATATATATATTAATCAAATACACATATTCTTGTATATAATGAGTGCAGTCATATATCTACAGTTATGATGTGTATAGGGTTTGCTCGCGATTGCTACGTATATGGCTTTTCGTTGCAATATACTGAATATGCCGTAAATAAACAGGGGGAATGGGGGATTTTAGAATGCTCCGCTTTTTACTGTTAGTTTCACAACTGAAACTATCTTCACCATCAGTCGTTTACACACTAACAGACGATACTGCTAGGTTTGTATGAAGATGCAGAAGTGAAAGTTAAAAATCTGCTTTTGTGAGGAATTCTGATTTTGGTCAGACGAAACGTTACATTATTTTTGAGTTATACGGATACACTAGCGCAGAGGCAGTGAGGAAAGATTGGGAGTTGGTCTCGTGTAACCTCCACTGATAGTTACATGGAGGTTTGCTGTATCATTCATAGGGCTGGGCATTTCGAATCGACGGTTTAAAGCAAAATTTCGAATCGTCGTCATCTTGTTTTTCTTCCTTTCCGCCAATGGTCGAGATAAATTTCTTATTTTTTTAAATTTTTTCAACTCAATTCTGACATACGACTCTTTTCTGTAGCGAGTTATTGATGAAAATGTGTTTTTATTGTATGTGAACGCGCAGCAATCTGTTTGAGTGATATATTCTACCAGTGGCGGCGCGTCAATAGGGCCAACCGGGGCAACGCCCCGGTTGTTTTTCGGTATAATAAAAAATATTCGAAAAATACCTCAATATCGGTTGCACAGACTGTCTACACTAGCCATATTCTCCCGACATGATTCATTTTTCGCTCGCAAAGCCTTCGCCGAACGTCGACGGGGCGACGCCGATTTTGCCCCGGTTGCTCATTGTATATCGTATTCTCTCTTTTATCTTCCACTCGCCGCGTTTGTCTCGTTTGTTTTCTGTTTCTTTTACTAAATCATCGGGGCCGATCGGGGCTAGCCCCGAAATTATGACGACACAATGCCGACGTTTCTTACAACAACGTGTTGACATATTCACGCATTCCTTCTCGTTCGTTGGTTGCTTGAAGAGTTGATAGTTTCCTCGCCTTCGTTTTTGTCGCTTGTTTCGCTATTTGAATCAGTTAGAGACCTTTAGTCCATTTGCTTTCGATTTTCCACATTCTTTTTGAGCTCCTCACTTCTTTCCGGCTTCGCATTTCTTAGCCTTAGACCTCATAATGAATAAGGTTGATGCACTACTTCGCACTCCGTTTTCGCAGCTGCCGCTGGAACAAAAATTAGAGGTACAACGTCTTGGGCCTTATCAACCAAAAAATTGTTCACTGGAACGATCCCATGACGAAGGAAAGCGTCGGCGTACATTCTGCGCAGAAACTTGATATAAAAAACACGAATGGTTGTGTTACAGCGAGGACAAAAATGCACTTTTTTGTTTTTATTGCCTACTTTTTGCTACCGCCCATGACTCACGTTGGTGTAAATTTGGTTTTAGAGATCTTAAACATCTTTCCGAGCGTGCCAGGGATCATCAATCTTCTATGGAGCATCTGGACAATGCAGTAAAATACCGAACATTCGGAAATGTTAATATTGCAGCACAGTTGGATGAAGGACGCGCGGTTTCTATTCGTCGCCACAACCAAAACGTCGAGAAAAACCGCCATGTTCTCGGTCGATTGATAGATGTTTTGAAGTTCATTGGTTGTCACGAGCTGTCCCTCCGTGGGCACGATGAACAGGCTGGCTCTTCTAATAGAGGGGTATTTTTGGATATGGTGGAATACACCGCATCCCTAGATACAGTAGTGAGAGATCATCTTGATGCCGCAACTGTTTCGAAAGGGACATCTAAGGATATCCAAAATGATTTGCTCGACTCAATGTATAAAATTTATTTACAACATTTGGCTCTGGTAATTGAGAATTGCCAGTTCCTTTCTATTCAGTCTGACGAGACAACTGACATCACGTGCGTTTCCCAACTGGCTGTGATTTTTCGGTTTGTGAAAGATGGTAAACCTACCGAGAGATTTCACAGCTTTGTACCAATCGTTGATCGCACGGCTTGCGGGATATCGGCTGTACTGAAAGAAGTGTTACAGGCTTACAACGCGAAGTCAAAATTGATAGCTCAAACTTATGACGTCGCGGCAGTCATGAGTGGGTCGAAACATGGTGTTCAAGTTTATATAAAAGAAGATTTTCCTCATGCGCATTTTTTACATTGTTATGCACACCAATTTAACCTCGTTATTAAAAATATGTGTCTTGATACCCCTCTCGTCCGTATATTTTTTGCAAATGTTTCGGGGTTTTCTTCATTTTTTTCCGTTTCGCCGAAGCGCTCTGACCTCCTTCGCCAAATATGTAGCCGTCGTCTCCCAGCTTGTGCACCAACACGTTGGAACTTCCAATCACGCGTGGTGCAGGGCATGTCCGAAATTAGGTCTGAGCTCATTGAGTGTTTCAATGGCATTCAGAGCTCTCCGGTTTGGGACGAACGCTCTGTGAGGGAGGCGGCAGGTCTAAAGCGTCTGCTAGAAGATGGTGAGTTTTCATTTTTTCTCGCTTTTTTCTCCACAATATTCTATCACGTGGATGTATTATACGGCGCATTGCAGTCAAGGCTAATGGATGGAGCGTCTGTGCAGTCGTGTATTTCAGACTTCTGCGATGCTGTATCTCGTATCCGGGAAACAATAAAATACGACGACACATGGAGTGCTTCTTTACGCCGCGGGCAAACAACGCTGCGTTTGATTTTGTCTGCAAAGGAATGCTGTGAAATTCTGGTGAATCAAATAGGCGATCGTCTGCGCACTGAACACCTTGCCGCGTTCTCTTTGATGAACCCCAAAAATTTTTCAAAATTTGCACGTCAATTTCCCATCCATTTGTTGGCTACTGTCTCCAAATTTTACCCCATGATAAACGTGGGTAAATTGGAAAATGAATTGCAATGTATATACACCAATCAAACTTTTTTGAACATCACATCAACTTGCGCGCTCTATGGGTTCCTCATAGATAACACTCTAGTAACTACCTTTGCGGCGTCTGCAAAATTTCTGGACATCATTTTGACGACGCCTATTTCTTCCGCCGACGCAGAGCGAACATTCAGCACGCTGAAGCGTATTAAAACGTATCTCAGAAAGACAATGAAGCAAGATAGATTAAATTCCTTGGCTGTTTTATCCATTCACAGAGACGTTATTTCTGGGATGCATGACTTTAATCAGCGCGTTATTGAGCATTTTGCTTTCAATAGGCCGCGGCGTGTTGCATATATGTTCAAGCAGTAGAAGTCTAGCAGCATATATATCTATGAGTGAGCGACGCATGTCCTTATCTTTGCATTAACTTTCCTTTCTTCATAGTAACGTTTTAAACCTTATTTTAGGTTTTGTCTGCTTTCCCGAAGTTTCTGTTAATATGTCATTGTATTTATCTGGGTAAATATTGCCTTTCCTTTTGAAAGAGGTTTCAAAATAAACTATGTCTATATTTATTATTCCCTTGACTTGGACCGGTTTTAAAGACACTTTCTTATCGTTAAAAATTGTCGCTTTTGCCGATTGGTTGTTACCGATGGAATGGTTTTTATACTCATAAAATGATGGGAGAACTTACAGCGCCCATCCTGTCCCCGTAGATGGGGGTGACTTGGTCCCGCAGTAGCTTGCCCCGGTTGTCAAAATGACCACGCGCCGCCACTGTATTCCACGTTTTTAGTAATTTATGTGTCTGGAGGACCTAATACAATAAGAAAGTTACATACAATTTTATATCTCCCAGAAACTGGATGTTTATGAGAGTTGGTTATATATTGACCACACATGAGAAAATGTATAGTATTTTTATATTCATCCTGGCGAGAGGAAAGCATGAGACGTCATATTCATCAGGCATGCAATGGCCTCTCGTCCGATTACCAGTCAATGTCGGGTATGGCCTTAGTTAGCCGTTTATTTGTTTAGACTTATGTCTGATAATATTGCATAATTGATGCAATCTGCCGAACACCATTTAGCAAAGACTTGTGTAAATAGAACATGTTGAAATCCTATAAAACATTAATTGTGGCTATATTAATTAAACAATCCATAGATCGCACTTGACCTGCCCTAGTTGCTTGCTGGTATTTACCCCCATCAAAAATATTCAGACCTCATCAAGTATATCTTATCAGTGCAGGTACTTCAGAGGCTGATTTGAAGCCACAGGCCACTGTAAGGATTTATTTATTTTTGTAGAACAAAAGAATCTGTCATTAATTAGGAAGCTAATTAGTTCTTCATTGAGCATTATAGAATGCGACAAACATTTGGCTTAAGCGGAACAAACAAATTCTCAAATTTCCCTTTTTAAAAGAATGTGATAAACATTAAACGAACTTCGGAGAGACAACTTTTATTGCGAAACGCATTTTTCACATATCATAAAATTAAAATAGGCGAGAGCAGAGCCAGGGATTATATGCCAGTCAAGTTAACCGGTAGTTGTTTAGATATTTTATTTAAAACCTGCGGAAGTTTGGTAAAATTAAGCGCGATATAAATGAATGCATATCCTGCTAAGATACATACCTTACTTTAAGGTCAAACTTTCCTGATAATGATAATCCGTAGATAATTTGGAGGATAAACAAATCATATATGGACATTGTGATACACGAGAATAAATAAAAAAGCCAAGTAAGAGTGAAACATTTTGTATAAATTATTATTATTTAAATCAAAATAATTACTCCCCCCCCCTCAAAAAACAACCTGCCTACTTTGTTTATCTTTGTTTGAGGCAGGCTATTTGAGCTATTATTGTATAAAATAAGAGTCGTTCAAAAAATGTTAAGCACGAAAAATGTAGCTTACAGTGGCGACATTGGGTCGAAAAAAAAAAAGATTTTTCAATAATATTTTTGCTAAAAAGTAGTTAATACTCGACAATATTTTTAATGCAGTCAAAAATCTTATTTTTACTGTAATTTCTAAAAAAAAATAGAATTATTTGAAGAGAGGTGCCATAATGAAGATTTCGTTCATCCTGCTTCTATGCGTATGTGCGATTGTTGCTCATGATAAGTTCTCTCGTAGTATTCAGCATGTGTTTCTATGTGCTGTCAGATTAAGAGACAAAAATAGACGTTATCGAACAGAAAAAAATGATTACTTCTTATAAAGATTAATCGTTAGGAATACGCTTGCCGCCGCACTTCTGATTACCTTGCGTGGGTTCGCAGGTTCGAATCCCGAGTACTTGCTGTACTTCTCGCCGCCGTAGGGTGGTTCACGTAACCGCTGGTCGGTTACGCCTTCATGGCCATACTTCCAAAACAAATAACTGGTAATTGAACCACGTTCACGACATGGACTCGTGATACAGATTATTCTGATGATTCCTAAATAAATTATCGTTTTTCAAAAAAATATCTCTCTTGCTGCTTTACATGCCTTACTTATTATTTATATATTTCAACACAGCAAACTGCTTAGAGACGCTTTAACTCTTTTCATTTTCAGGTGAAGACCATCCCGTCGAAACAGGAGGTCTACTTTCAAGGCTCACCGGGAAAGGTGAGAAAACTGCTCGCCATAAAAATACGGTTAGAATTACGAGTAGAGAATAATAACAATTACCTGCTGGGTAGTTAAAATAAACTGTATTTCAACCAATACAGGGTGTTGAAAAGAGACGCAAAATTAACAAAAGTTAAGATGAGATGCTATTCAAAACATTCAACGACTAACACTTTTTAACAGTATTGAATTACGGTGAAATGCCATTTAAACATTTCACGACTGACGCTTTTTGGCAATTACTTTTTTCACGTTGCCATGACGAAAATTTTTTAGCTTAATTTTGCGTAACTTTTTCAACACCCTCATGTAACTGCATCTGAAACAAATAACTGACCAATTAATCACATATCATACATTTTCTGGTAACGCAATGAGTCCATGGTTCGCTATAGAATTGAGCCATCTAATCGACTTTCCTCTCCCTACTGAGTTACGCGATACATTCTTTTTAAATTCCATATATATAATGTGGAACCGATGAAGTTATTGAGAATCGTCTCAGGGCGGGGAAATGTGCCGAGTCCACCAGCACCTCGGGTAGGTGGCGAAGCTGTGATTCTTCGTCATTTCATAAACGGGGCCGTAACGCTTCCGTCGCGCCACCCGCCCGCCTAAATTTTATTGCAACTAAACTTCAGTTATGACTTGAAATATCCATAATTTGTGTATGTGACATGATTCCCCAACAAATTGCTATATTTACATTGTGAGCCTTGTATTTTCTCAGGACACGAATAAGAGTATACAGCAGAGTAATGCTAAAGTATACAGTAACGAAGGAAATTAACCACATGGCATTAATTCTCTCTAACGGGGCCGAGCGCTTACGTATCGAAACGGGACCGCCGTGACTGAGGCGACCATGTCTCGAGGGATAAAAACATAGTGGTCCCCTTGAATTAAATTATGACACCGAAATTTGGTGGTGAAATAGCGGGTCATATAGTCTCAGAGAAAAGTTAAACAGAAACTAAGATTGGTGAACTTTAGGGTTATCGCTGAGGAAACTAGCGATCCAAAATATTTTAGGGCGACCCATAGGTTGGGAACACTGATATAGGGTAATTACATTAGGCTTCGTTTTGCTAAATTCTTATTTTGGCTGGGAAAAAATTGTATTATTTCGCTAACAATGGACCAATCGATTTCAATTCGAGACGGAAGAACTTTGTATGTTATGTCGAGTTTATTAATTTCCTACATGGGTGAGAACCCCCTCTGAAATTAAAAAAAAAAATTTCAATTGGGTACAGTCTGTATTTTTTAATGGTACTTATGACTGACGAAGCTTGTGCACCGGTCCCATGATATTTCTCATTAAATGTCCAAATGCGTCTCCCCGTTATAAGAACGTATTCTATGACAAAAGTTATTACTTTGTGAATATACCGGTATAAGCGACATAACACCATGGCAAGGAAACTCTTATCGCATTTGCTAAGACTTTGTTTGCCGTACATCAACCAATTTAACATTTTTCAATGGCGTTTGACGTTTTACCCACTGGGCGTCGCGATGTGTGCTCTCCAAAGTGTGAGCCATTATCACTCCTAGTTGCCAAATAAGTTTTATTATTATATTGTCGCGTCAGGAATGAAAGTAGCTTCGAAAGTAGAACCGGGATCTTTCTGGTTTGGTATTGCCCGTGCAATTTATCACACCCTGGTCTCGGTGGGGGGTGACAGGCCGGATTTAGACAAACAGAGGCCTTAGGCCAGTGGTTCTTAAACTGGGTTCGATCGAACCCCTGGGGTTCGGTGGAGCTGTTCCAGGGGTTCGACGAAGGTGCTCTAAAACAGTTGCATATTATGGGACTTTTTTATCACCCTGCATACTAATTATGCAAAAATAACTATAGTTCATGATGACTAATTACTAATGACTTGAACAATTGAATGGAACAATTAATTGGTGTTACCCTTATTCATATTCTACCGTACTAATAAAATTTAACTCAATTTTACGGATAAATCGAAGATAGGCAGTAATTGTACATGAATGAATGCAAAATCATAGCGTGTTTGAATTTCACTAGGTGATAAATTTGCGACAAGGAATAGTTTATCGCAGAGCTTTACCCGAAATTATTATGATCCATTCAGGACAACCTCGATATGGCGCCGAATTAATCCTATCTCTATTTCTGTAAAATAAAACAATTGGCAAACGATTTTATTCGCATTTCAGCGTAGTTTAAAGTTTGAGAACAAATTGCTTGAACTACCAACGTTTATGGGGTATATTATCATCTTTCGGATTTTCAAAGTTATTTTTTATCAGTTTTCGCCTGTTCACCCGCATAACTTATACAACAAAAACCATCTGCTCATTCTGCCGCCAACGTCATTGTGACAAAACAATGGTTATTCCCACATGGTCATTGATATCTAAGGTTTCATCACAATGTTCATATTCTATAACCTTGCAAGAATTAGCTTTCGCTTTATGACGTTACGGTTTGGCTTCTAATTTCAACCGTTCAGTACAATGGGGTTCGGCGGGAGCTTGCAGAATAGCGCAGGGGTTCGGCAGGCTCGCAAAGATTAAGAACCACTGCCTTAGGCTATGCGGTTTGTGTTTCCCCTTTAAACACTGTCGTCGCTATTATATAACTGATTTTTGTTTATTTTAAAATATTAAATACACAATTTTGATAGTTTTTAAATTTATAACTCTTACAAGCGGAGCGTGTTTTATGACTTCTGCGGCGAAAAGAAAAAGAACTTGCTGGTGCTTCACCCTTAGTGTAACCTAATACTTGTAACCGAAAAAAATTCTCGGTCTTATTTCTGGGGACAAAGGATGATATTGCATAGGTAAAAAAAGGCTGTAATTGAAAGCTATAAATAGGGTTGTTGGCTTATTTAATTCTATATCAGAGAGCCGGTTCCTGACAATAAGATGAAGAAATTTTTCTACATTGTATTTTTTGTAGCATTGCTTATTGCAATCGGTAGGTATTTCGTTTGTAATAAATAGTTCTACCTTAATTAAGATCTTTTTTGAGTGAACGGCAATGCGGGCCGGTATTTCGATACAATATCACTACTTTGCATATATATATATATTTGAAAGTTAGAAAAGTACGTCCAGTGAGAAAAATTGGTAAAAGTAAAACGCGAATAAAGTAATGAATGAAAAGTGTTTGAAACAATGCAAAATAAGGCGAGCAAGATCAAATCTAAATATTTTTATTTTTAATTAGCCTCACGCCACCTCAAATAATTGTCTACGCCTTTCTTGTGGGGCGTGTCCCATCGTTTGAGAACCACTGTACTAGGCAGAGGCCGTTTTCAGTCGGCGGTCTGGGTTCCAAAGCTGTACTTGTTTTAGGTTTTATGTTAAGTTGTGCCTTTTATTCATCTTTAGGTTTGTCATCTGGAGGAGAAATCATTGACGTAGGTCATCCTAAATTTAGTTTGAGATTGGCTCAAACAGCAACAACAGCTCTTGCCGACAGAAAAGGTTAGTGTTAAATTCACTGTTGTTAGGTTATACCACTGATTTGAATCCTCTTGGTGGCGGGTTACTTTATTCATACTAGGCTTTTCGCCCCGAGAAATATACATGAGCAGTCACTGGTAGGTAAAGCGCTATTATTATATGAAAGGATCAAAAAAAAAATTGTCGTCATGGCCTGCGCAATTTATTACAACCTGGGATACTCCCGAAGTATGTGTGTAGATTATAAGCGACTTAGTACTTATGATGAGGCTCTACAAGAAGCCTATAACGTGTTGGGCGGTGACACTTTGCGCTATTAACTTTCTTTTATGTATAACATGCCTGGTTTCTCGATGTTAACAACTCCACAACTTGAATATGATTGAAATCTATTGAAGTCCTGTGAAATACGAAATTGTGTGGTGATAAAAAACAAACGATTCCAGTATTGTAGAATGTAGAAGTCCGAATAAATTGATATAGCAATGTTGAGGTCCAATAATCAATTGATTACAATAATATTGAGGGTTGCTAAAGTTTACGACCAACCCAACAGGCAGGTTAATAACATACTTAATTCTAAACGATGTAAACAATAGCAACATTAAAATACAAGATAGACAAAATGAATCAAACCCTATTATTAAACTGATGGACAAGTAAACAAATCCGCTCATTGCGGCAAATAAATTAGCACTACTTCAACAGCTAACTCTTAACACGAAATAAATGGTAAACAGCCGACTGGCAATTATTCGAAATAATAAACAAACAAAAACGAGAGAAAAAGAAATGGCCGATAACAGACTTTGTTTACGCTGACATGCTCATTCCTGCCCACGAACATATGGTGAAATCGCCTTGAAGGGAGTAATTTCCTGAACGGTCATTCGACAAAGTACAATGACCGATCTATCTCGAGATAACCCCAGGTCAAATATATATGAAATAAAACAAAGAAACTTTGTCTGTAACAATGTGTACCAGGTTAGGGTTAAGCCATTATACCAGGTAGGCCTACAAATACCGCGGAAGTGACTTGTCTATCCTAAGTGATTCAAGAGTCTTGCTGCACACTAACACAAATATATTTCTGTAACGTTTCGTCTGACCAAGGTCAGACTTCTTCGGTGACTTGTCTAGCCGCAAACTCGTAATAGAACTAAAATAGGGAAAATTGGAACAAAATTATGGCCTAACCCTAACCTCGTACACATACTATGTTCCGGTGTCCGCTATCTCGGTTCACATACTTCGGGAGTACCCAACCTAAATAATGTAATGGCATAGGATTTAAACTTTTTATCATAACGCTATCGTACTCGAGTTGAAGCCTTAGGTCACGGCGTCCACGAGTTAGTATTTTGCTCAGTAAAGCACCGCTGATAGCTGTGAAATCGCTTGTATGTTTTTTTTTTATATTTATATCAAATTATTAGTTGTAAATAATTTATAGTACTATGTATACACATTTCCAGTTTCACGGCCACCTAAACAATTTCGACCACAACGAGACGGTAGACCAGGCAATTTGGATTCTAGCGACGACGAAAGAAAACCTGAAACGATAGGACAAAATGATGCAACTGGGTGGGGTGCCGGGAAAATAACTGGTGTTGTTATTGGTTGCGCAGTGTTTTTTTCTGGAGTTCTGATTTATATCGCAAGACGCTTTGGATGCTGTACCTGCGATGACTCTTGCAACTACTGTTGCTAAATACAAAATCGGTTATGTTTTTATAGTTATAGAGTTCGTATATATATATATATATATATACCGTATTTGACGTACCATAGAGCGCACTTCAATTCAGTTCCGCTATTGCTTTAAAACCCGTTGTGCCTTATCTATAAATAAAAACCCACTCCTAATCAATTTATTAAATCCTACTAAAATGATAATTTAAATTTTAATACTGAAAAACATATTTAATTATTTTCTATCGATACCTAAAATAATGGCAGTGTTTCCATAAATTGGTTTGCACAAATGACAATTTTTTTGTTGTTGATTTTTGCACTGTTATTAGTAAACTTTTGGTAATTTGCAGTAGCAGTTTATTGTTCGTAGATAGTAGTACTGGGTGAGCGAACACGTACTACTTCTTTCCCATCTAAAATATGTACGCTTCAAACCTTACTTGAGATTTTGTTTGCTCTCTCGATTCTATAATCAGTTTTATTTGTTTTGTTTTTATCAATTACTTTATCGTCTATTAAGCTGATTATGGAGTCGGAATAAACCTATTATTGTTAGAAATAAATTGATCAAATACATATATTCAGGTATATAATGACAGTGTGTATTTATTGTTTCCATAATCCTTTCCCCGACCTTTGACCCCCGAAAAATTCTTCCTATACTTAACCATTGCAGAATTTTGAGGCCATTTCAAGAGTGCTTTTGGGAGTTGGCGCCTGTAAAATGGGGTATGTGTTTCAAACCATCATTATGATTCAACAATCTGTTTTTTAAAAGTACCGGTAAAGAATTTTGGTCTAGTCCAGTGATTCCCAAAGTGGGCGATATCACCCCCCGGTGGGCGAAAACGACACAGAATGGGGCGGAAAAGTCGAAGGGGGCGATAGGGGGGCGATTTCGCGAAACCTGTTTTTGTTCGGCACATCGTGCACTTGATTACTGTACTCTGCGTTTATTCGTAGGTTTGAATCACGTGGGCGATTATCACACGCGAAAGGATTGCAGGACTCGTATCCGCCGTAAAGTACGGTAGTTTGCCTATCCCAGTGGTCGGCAAAATACGGCCGGAGTGAAATAATCTGGCCTGGGACGCTTCACTGAATGGACCTTTCCCCGACCTTTGACCCCGGAAAATTCTTCCTATACTTTACCATTTTAAAATTTTCGGTGCTTATTTTAAGAGTGCGAAGTTAAGTCAGCTGGTAATTTCGTCGAATAATAACCACTTTCCATCTGTGATATCCTAAGGAACACTATTTTCAAATTGTCAACTATAACGATTAGAAATGCCAAACTCACTTCGGATGCAACTCGGCACCGGTATACTTATCTTTAAAGAAAATTTGACGCACTATAAATGTCATTTGGCATATATCATAAAATATCAACGTATTCGGATAAGATTTTCCTTCAAAATGCGACTTTTAAAATCTTTCTACCTAGAATATTAGTGAAAATAATAGGTATGTTTCAATAGTTGCGTGCGAACTTCTCATAAGGCCGTGTTAGACGACCGGTAACAATAGGCACAAGATGGCGTCCATTGTCTGAGCATTACCTCAGAGTTTTATATACGCTTTGCTACCATAATCGTCTCGACTCTCGACTTCCCTGGCAACCAAATAACGACGATCGCGAACGCTGTACCAAGTAGGTAAGTATTATTTTTTCGTCACCATGTGAAAATTAAAAACACATTAATAAACAGAAGCAAAACAATGTTAATCACAGGTGAAGGAAGTCACAAAAAACCTCAAGAGGTTATCCAGCTGTGACACCTTATGAAGTATAGCAAGCTGTTATTAAAAAAAGAACAATAAACAACAAAACAATGAACAGTATGAACAATGAAAAAACTACATTAGTCAATTGTTTAAAGTGGGGCATTGTTTTTATATTTCGAATATTACAAGGCTGCTGTTCGAATTGGGCACAACTAGAGACAAAAATTATTATTATATTTCAAGCCCATGCAGGGTAATCAGAGGTGCAATGGTAAAACGTATTCCTAACGCATAGCACGGTGTGCCATACCGTCCAACTAACCAGAGAATTTTATTTTCAGCACTCATTTTTGTGACATTTCCAAAAACAAAATATTCCGCCCTTTACTTTTCCAATGTGAGAGGGGTGGCCGCGGCGCCTTGGCCTGGCGGGCTTACTGGCGCTTGCGGCAATATCGAAATCGTACGTGCTATAATTTCGATCAGATCTTTCGTACAGAGCTCCCGCCATTAATGCAAAAATGTGAGATTTGATAAAAACACCGCCGCCATGTTTTAGAGTAACAAATTGAGTAATTATGCGGTTACATTAGAAATGATATATATGAATTTACAGCGCAATCTGCACCTTTCGATCCTTCAATGAGCTTTGTAACTTCACACTCGAGCTTTTTTTTTTATATCTGGGTAAGCGCTGAGCTTAATTCAGTGCCCTCGAAGTATGCTTACCAAGATGGCGCACAACTGAACATAGTATGTGTACCAGGTTAGTGTTCAGGCTGTGCGTCATCTTAGTACACATACTTCCGGAGCGCCCTTCAATTCTACTCAAAAATAGGATTCACATGTTTATCTCGGGAAGAGAAGAGCCGATAAGACGGCTTAATCATATGACAAACCACGACCTCTCGTCCGGCCAGTCCGTGTCGAGTATGGGATAAGTTACCATGTTATTTATTTATTCGGAAGCATGGACTTGGTAAAAAAAAGCAATTTTAGTTGAAAACGATCTCATTAACTCCTATTTCAATAGCGCTACTTCTTAAAATTATTATTGCTAACTCTTTTAAGGAAAATACTGACTGAACTTGTTATTCTAACTTTGAAATATATGTATAGTAATGATATAATAATAATAATAACAAAACGCCGGCCCGCATTGTCGTTTAATTAAAAAAGAAAGTACGGTAGAACTATTGATAATAAACCAAAATGCATAAGTATTAATACTTACCGACTGAAATAAGTAATAAAGCACAAAACACGATGTAGAAAAATTCCTTCATTTTTTGTGTATTGAACTGGCTCTCTGATCGAAAGTAAACAGAGCAACAATTTGTGTATATCTGTCAGTTACAGCCTTTCCCCCCTTGTTCCGCAAAAATAAAACCTTTTTTCTTTATTCCCGTACCCGGGTACAATACGGGTGAAGTACCAGATTCCTGTTCTTGTCGCCCTAATGACCCCATTTTACGCTCGTTCCGCTTTTAAAAGCTATAAATTTATATTTAAAGTTTCTCCTCACATTAAACTATGCAAAAATGTGTATTCAATATCTTAAAAAAAAGATCCGTTGTATAATAGTCGTTGTTAAAAGGGACATAAGCAGGACCTGGGATAATCGCAACAACCGGAACGCACTTAATTCGTGAAAAAGTATTATAATTACAACACGTCCAGCGGCCTAGACACTATTTTACTCTGACAGAATTTTGAGCGCAATTGTAAACCTTGCCTTGTTCATGCAGTATCAGGTTTCGGCCTAAGACCTTTGTTTATCTTAATTCGACTCTGTCACAATGGATTTAAAACTCTTCCGGCCGGCCAAGAAATATAATCCGGCCCGAGACGCTTCACTGAGTTATAGTAACAAAACAGCTGTTTTGGCGATTATCTTCTCTATGTAAAAGAATTTATGGTGAGACACGTGTAGTCTAAATTTATCTTGCAAGTATATAATTAACAATTACTCGTTTATTAAGCCTATAATTTAATTAGAATTAGTCAAATAGAAACAAACAAAGTTGATGCTAAGTGCAAATGTTTCAATGAACCTGAAAATATTCAAATAGAATTTTTTGAGATGCAATGCAATGAGGAGTTAAATCTACATTCTATTCGAGAGAAGTATCACTGCTTGATTTTTATGATAAAAAGTATCATCCTTTTGGTTTTTAACTTTCTAAAAATATGTGCGGTTCGCCAATGACTTGCAAAAGGTTGCCGACCCCTGGTTTACTGTAACATAAGTCTAATTTAACCTTCCTTTATAACATTTTGTGTCGGAATAAAATGCAAATTTCTGGTAAATCAGGCCCAAGATGAGTGTTTTATCAGCATTCGTGTACGGAAATTATAGAGGAATCCTTCCTCTAAGAATCAACCGATTTTCCACATGTAGGCAGTTTTTAAGATCTTTCATTGGCTTGATTATTTAGAAGGAGTTACAAACATTTTTATTACCTACAAATAGTTCACCTATCGAGCACCAAAAAATTGCATTTACACACAAAGCATGGCATTTATTTCATACAATATTGTATACAAGTATTGCTCTTGCACGACGAAAATAAATGTCTGAATCTGATTGGTATTTCATCCATTAATTCCGATTAGAACTAAGAGCTTGAGCCCGATCCCCGGGTCGGGCCTGGAATGTCAATCATTACGTTCTGATCGGGCTTCTCCATTGCTGACTTTTTTTTTTTAAATGAGGCTTTTAGGCTGTGTTTTGGCCACAAGAGACCGTGGTCTGCTACAAAACAAAAGTTGCCTCATCAACACGACACATACTGTACTAAACTCTTGCAATGACAATTCAAAGAACTCCTAAATAAAATATGAGATTTCGGGTTTACAATTCAAAGAACTTCTAAATAAAATATGAGATTTCGGGTTTGCTTTGGGCTCGGACCTGCAAATCCAGTTAATTAGTCGGGCTCCGGCTGGGTCGGGTTTAATACCAACGGGCCTGGGTGGTGGAATTTTTGGAACCGATCTTACCTCCAATTCCTATGCGTTCGCCGATAAGAAATGCGTCGGACTCGGGAGCGTTTAATATCTGCAGCATAACAATGACAAGATAATAGTCATTTTGATCCTTCCTTAAAGGTACATCTCGGCGCCTAGTAAGTAAAATGTCACACGCCAGAAAAGCATGAAATATTTGGTCGATGTGCGGAAAACATAAAACCCAAGCAAGTACGATAATATATTATTTTAAAGTTTAATATATTTCCAACAAAATCATTACCCGAAAGCAGCGGTTCCCAAACATTTTGTTCGTGCGGC